ATCTAACTTTTCTGAAGATGACAGAAAAAGCGTCCCAACCTCTCATAGCGCATCAACATTATTTGAGCAGGAGCACGCAGGGCAAAACGTTAAGTACACACTCTCCTATTCCCAGGATGCAGGCATGCATAATAACACATCAACATGCTATATTAATATATCAACCTGGTGAAATTCACAAAGTACTTTTAACAACTGTTACATTCACCCCTCCTGAATTTCACCAACCTTGTAAAACTAAACAAAATAATCTACCAAACTCAAGGCATAATTCTGAATTCAGCTCAAAACTGACCATAGGGTTCAGGGCAAGTGAAATCTGGTCAGGCCTTCAACTGCCCCTAGATGCATAGTGCCTCTTACACTATATCTACCTTCTTAGCCGTAAAAAAACGGTAATTCTGTACTATGTTAAACTTGCACCTTCTGGGGGATTGACTCAATTAGTCTCTTGACTGGTTTTACTACCCTCCCCGCCCTGTTCGACCCGCCACTGTGCTAGGGGCCATGGTGACTAACAGTGGTTCTGGCCTTAGATCATTGATCAGAGGAGGGTTTGAAGGAATCAGCTCCAGGATCTCAGAGGTGCTTCCCAGGTCATTTTCCTCAGGCAGGCGAGGTTCTTCTGGTTCTGTCTTTCCATCCGATGTCCAGAGCTCGGAGTAATCGCTTGAATCCTCCGCCATCCAAGATGCACTTTCCCCAGAGTCCTCCATGTCTTCCTTGTCCAGTCCATCGCCAGAGTGCGTGGCCTCTCCTGCATCTACATTGATCGAAGGTCCTGCAGCCTCACTGTCATTGAAGTACTCTGAATCATCAATTTCAAATGGCAGGAAGTTCACCTGCAGCAGTAGATTTCTGTGAACCACCTTCTCTCTGCCATCGCGGTCTTGGATTATGTACGTGTGAGTTTGTGGATGGACTGAAGTCACTGTGAAAATCTCGGGATTCCACTTGTCAGCCAACTTGCGGCGGCCCCTTTCACCCTTGTTGGCGATGAGGACACGATCCCCCATGGACAAACTGATGCCTTTAACCCGCTTGTCATACTCCCGACCTTGTCGTCTCTGTTGCTTGTCAGTGTGCCTTTGGGCAACACTCATAACTTCCTTCAGCCCAGTGATCAGAGTCTCGACATACTTGTTGCAATCCACAACACTGGAGTCGTCCAATACATTGTGGAACATCACATCCACTGGTAGCCGAGGGACCCTACCAAACATGAGAAAGAATGGAGCATAGCCTGCAGTCTCATGAACAGTGGCATTGTAGGCAAATATCAATGACTGGATTTGTTCAGGCCAATGTTCCTTGGTTTTCAGGGGTAGACTCCTGAGCATGCTGCCTAAAGTCCTGTTGAAGCGTTCAGTCTCTCCATTCCCCATTGGGTGATATGCCGTGGTTCTTGACTTTTGGACACCAGAGAGCTTAAGCAGTTCTGCTATTAACTCGCTCTCGAAATTTACACCCTGATAAGTATGGATCCTTGCAGCAAATCCGTAGACACAGAAGACATGATCCCACAGTTTACGAGCTACTTGCTTGGCTGTCTGGTTTCTGCATGGCCATGCATGGGCAAGTTTAGTGAAGTGGTCAGTCACCACCAGAACGTCAACTGAATTCTTCTTACTGTCTTCCGCTGTCCAAAAATCCAAACACACCAACTCCATGGGAGAGCAGGTTTTGATGCTCTCTAACGGGGCTCTAGCCGCTGGCTCTGGAGTCTTTGCTAGAACGCATCTCTGGCAGCAGCGTACATACTCCTTGATGTCTCTCTCCATTGCAGGCCAGAAAAACCTCTGTCTTGCCAGGGCTAGAGTTGTAGCCTGGCCTTGATGTCCTGCAAGGTCGTGAACGCCGGTCATCCTCTGTAGCTCGGCTGGTAGAGCACGGCGCTTGTAACGCCAGGGTAGTGGGTTCGATCCCCGGGACCACCCATACACAAAGAAAATGTATGCACGCATGACTGTAAGTCGCTTTGGATAAAAGTGTCTGCTAAATGGCATATTATTATTATTATTGCTTTGAGTCGCAACACCTCTGGTAAGACATACTGGAACTTTCTCTGGTTTGTGTGACTCTCCATAATGACACGATACAGAACTCCCTCTCTTAGGATCAAGCGGTCCGACTGCTTCATCAGCAACAACACTTTAGAAGAAACATATTGGTCTCGTCTGGTGGGCCGTTTCTTATTGAAGACGAAAGGGATGACCTTGGAAATCACAGAGTTTGCAGCTGGAGACCTCAAAGTTGCAGCTGTTGAATGTTGGAACCAAGCTGGATTGCTTGCATCTCCGTTGAACATTCCCAGTCGATATGGAACTGACATATAGCTTTCACTTCAGCAGTGGTCAAGGAGGTTATCTCCTGGGGATAAGAAGCCCACCGGAAGGCATCTTGGACATCATCATTCAGCGTCCCAACAGCCTCAGACAGAAGTGCTAGGTAGGACTCCCTCATCAGTCTCTGCACGACAGTCACTGCAAAGGGGTCGCGGCTCAGTGCATCTGCTACTGTATTCTTGCCGCCTGGGAAACGCTTCAAATCGAAGTTGTATGGTGCAAGCTTGGCAACCCATATTTGCTCGCAAGCATTCATCTTGGGTTTTGTCATGATGTACGTTAACGGGTTACTATCTGTCCAGACAGTGAACTCGTGCCCCTTAAGCCAGTGACTGGAGTTCTCACACACGCTCCATTTCAGTGCTAGAAATTCAAGTCTGTGTGCCGGATACCTTCTCTGCGACTTACTCAGGGTCTTGCTCGAGAATGCTATGGGCCTTGCTTTATCTTCACCTTCAGGCACTTGACAAAGCACAGCCCCGAGACCATCCAAAAATTGATGGTCCAATATGATCCTTGAAGGCACAGTGATGCCGAAACGTTGGTGTTCTACCCAGTAATTAATATATATAGTGTGCGACTTTTTTATAGCTTGCAATTTATTTGCCCTTAATCAGCACCTCTACAATAAATACTTTTCTCTGAGTGTGCGCCAGCTCATGCTTTTCATTAGACTGTTATGATCCTTTGAAAGCTAATCACTCAACCCAATGCTTCCCTCTAGTGGGTTTCCTATGAATGAGGGGGCCTCTGATGTTCCCAATGATGGTGATGGGTCCATTCAACCTGGCAGCCTGGGCTCATAGACGTAAAATAGCTGGGTTAGGGTTTAAGGTTAAGTTAAAGGGTTAAGGTTAGGGGAAGGGTTAGCTAACCTGCTAAGTAGTTGCAAAGTAGCTAAAAGTCGTTGCAAAGTTGCTAATTAGCTGTAATTGTCCATGATGATATTCAAACACGCAACCTTTTGGTTGCTAGATATTAGAATTGTACACCCGACCAACCACCCTAATTTCGTTTTTTGCCTCAAGTAACCTTGTCTTATGTAAACATACGGTGGGGGGGGGAAAGTATTTAGTCAGCCACCAATTGTGCAAGTTCTCCCACTTAAAAAGATGAGAGAGGCCTGTAATTTCATCATAGGTACACATCAACTATGACAGACAAATTGAGATTTTTTCCCCCAGAAATTCACATTGTAGGATTTTAATGAATTTATTTGCAAATTATGGTGGAAAATAAGTATTTGGTCACCTACAAACAAGCAAGATTTCTGGCTCTCACAGACCTGTAACTTCTTCTTTAAGAGGCTCCTCTGTTCTCCACTCGTTACCTGTATTAATGGCACCTGTTTGAATTTATCAGTATAAAAGACACCTGTCCACAACCTCACAGTCACACTCCAAACTCCACTATGGCCAAGACCAACGAGCTGTCAAAGGACATCAGAAACAAAATTGTAGACCTGCACCAGGCTGGGAAGACTGAATGTGCAATAGGTAAGCAGCTTGGTTTGAAGAAATCAACTGTGGGAGCAATTATTAGGAAATGGAAGACATACAAGACCACTGATAATCTCCCTCGATCTGGGGCTCCACGCAAGATCTCACCCTGTGGGGTCAAAATGATCACAAGAACGGTGAGCAAAAATCCCAGAACCACACGGGGGGACCTAGTGAATGACCTGCAGAGAGCTGGGACCAAAGTAACAAAGCCTACCATCAGTAACACACTAGGCCGCCAGGGACTCAAATCCTGCAGTGCCAGACGTGTCCCCCTGCTTAAGCCAGTACATGTCCAGGCCCGTCTGAAGTTTGCTAGAGTGCATTTGGATGATCCAGAAGAGGATTGGGAGAATGTCATATGGTCAGATGAAACCAAAATATAACTTTTTGGTAAAAGCTCAACTTGTCGTGTTTGGAGGACAAAGAATGCTGAGTTGCATCCAAAGAACACCATACCTACTGTGAAGCATGGGGGTGGAAACATCATGCTTTGCTGCTCTAGAGGAGATCCGCATGGAGGAATGGGCCAAAATACCAGCAACAGTGTGTGAAAACCTTGTGAAGACTTACAGAAAACGTTTGACCTGTGTCATTGCCAACAAAGGGTATATAACAAAGTATTGAGAAACTTTTGTTATTGACCAAATACTTATTTTCCACCATAATTTGCAAATAAATTCATTAAAAATCCTAAAATGTGATTTTCTGGATTTTTCTCCTCATTTTGTCTGTCATAGTTGACGTGTACCTATGATGAAAATTACAGGCCTCTCATCTTTTTAAGTGGGAGAACTTGCACAATTGGTGGCTGACTAAATACTTTTTTTCCCCACTGTACCAAACGTAACATATACTAATTTGAGTATCCAGAATTCACCTTTACTATGTTACGTCTAGTCTATGAGACCAGGCTGGTCCATTTGTCTTTAGTTGGCCTACACCACATAACTTAAACCTCACTATTGATCTTGTTCTGAATACATTTCAGACTACAGTGAAGGATAACTACTAAGCACAGTATACAATATTCTGAAGACTAAAACATAGCAACAGATGTAGCATACAATCACTTTCTTGAGACACAAGTAAAACTTCACTTAAGGCTAAATACATAACTCACTTTGGTGAAGAAATGGCAAACAAGAGGAAAGAGTTAGTATACTGATATGAATAGATATGTTTATTTCCCAGCATTTTTTCCGAAACCCTCCAAGAACAAGTAACAGGGAAACACGTATGTCTGAAGAAATAGTGCATGAACACTAGATAATAATTATTACCTAAACATATTTCTAATACCTGTACAGGAATCACTACATCAACTATACTAATCTACAGGAGAGGTCAAGCACTGACCATCAGACATCGTTTCAACATGTTTCTTGCCCCTTCACCAAGGGGAAAAAAAGAAAAAATCCCAAAAATATTGATGTGCACCCCCCAATCCAAAGGGGTAGTCGTTCAACAGAGTTGCCAAGTAACCTGCACGATTATACAGCGCAATACATTACAGATAGAATGGTAAGATTCCTATGTACTGTTCATTGACTCCCTACCCGTTTAAAAAGACAAATATATTATTTAAAAAAAAAAAAATGTTTTCCTGCTTTACATCTGCAGATAGATTATATGATGCATTTATTTATTTGTCATTTCAACGTCAATTTAAATAAATAGGTTCGTATCGCGAATGGCACATTTGTAAGATTTCTTCACTGTTTTTGAAAAATTCTGCATCGAATGAAAAAAGAAAAAAAAGATAAAAAAATTAAAAAGACAAATTCCTGTTACAACTGACAAAGTAACAGAAAATAATTGTCTGAAGGGGAAAATACCATTACTAATCTAACGTTACTTACAAAAAGACCATATCTATTCAATTTGTGAAACCAAATAAAAAAATCTGGATAATTTTTCCATCTTCAGAAAAAAAGCACAAGAATAAAATATGCTAGCAACATCGATGTCCACATTTTGCGGATTCGTTTCCTCTTTAGAGATACAAAAATGTAAACATTGCAAAATAAATAGTGAAAACGAGTGATACAGGATCTGTGGTTCATGCTCATGATCCCAACACAAACGTTTTATTTTTGCTTTTTTACATGTACTATTTTGTTTGCATTTTCAAGTGCAAAAGCATGATGACAAATTCGCTAGAATTCAAGTAACAGAAAAAAATAAACATACTAATGATACAAATATACTATTTTACAAGTTAGTGATATTCCCAATTTACAAAATGTACATTTATAATAGACAAATTTGTTATAATATTTTGATATGCTCGATTCTGTATAGGTCCTTGTATATGCTTGCCCTCTGGTGGCTGGGGCTTGCATTCTTCCTAGCGGAGGCGAGTCAGTTTGTCACATTCACCGGTCTGCGCAGAACGGGGATAAGGGGAGGAGGAAGGGAGCGGGTTATGTCACCTCCATTGGTACTGTGGTCTCTGATATACCGTTCAACGCAAGTCTCTCAGGTTCGTGATTATCCCTGAAAAAAAGAAGAAACATAGTCATTCATTATTCAAATACAAAGCAAATTAGTTTGCCTGGAAAATTAAAAGTTATGTATATCAGCCATTCTAAATGAAAGAACAAGAAATTAAAGGTCTTACCTGGCCATGCTGCCGATGGCGGGCGTCACCTTGGGCACGCGGTCCAGGCTGCTTGCGGCCATGGTGGCCAGCTTCAAGGCAGACGGCGAGGGGGCCGAGGGCCGGGAGTTGTGGTGGTGGTGGGCAGGGGAGACAGCGCTGCCGTGGCCCCAGTGGTTGGGCAGAGACTGGGGAGTGGTGGAGTGGGAAGCAGGGAGCAGAGGGCCGCCGCAGGACGTGGTCCGACCTGACCTGTCCAACCCTGTGCCGCCCTGGGATGTGCTGGTGGAGTGAGGAGGTCTGGAGGTCCCTGCAGGAGAGGTGATATGACACCGTCAAACCAGAGTAGGCCTATTCCCTGAATAAGCACATATCTTAAATGTCAATTAATGAGGTGGGCTGGTCGTTTAGCAATGACTCAATTCCACTACGGAACCCAACAACAAAATAATATCTGAGAGTAGTCCATATTAAAATGTATGATATATTCTGAAGAGGACCTGAAGGCTGGACGACCCCGTTGACGCTGGTGTTGTCTGGTTTGTTCTCATTGTTGACCTGGCCTGGAGCACTGATCACAGCTGACGCAGCAAAATGGGCGCTGGCCGAGTCCAGAGTCTTTGATATGATGCAGTCAGTGGAGCCAGCAGTCTACAACACAATATAATGACAGTCTACAGAACGTAACACTGCCATAGCAGTCATCGAAACATACGCGGAGCTGTTTGAAGACTATCAACATATTAATGGAAATGAAGATGCATTCTGCCCCACCGACTGGACTGAAGCCATTAGGAATGCTGTGTATATAGTTCTCTTTGAAGGGGTGAAAGACAGTGTGTGTACCTGTGTGTGTTGTCGCTCAGGCAGTGAGAAATGCTGCTGGGGAGGAGGAGCTTTCAGCTGCAGTTGAGCCAGCTGCTGTTTCTGCATCTGGGCCAGAGCCTGCTGATGAGTCTGGTACTGCTCCTCTGTGATGCCACCTGCGGATACAGGAGATCAAGGGAAAGGCCATCAGAGAGGGAACGACAGAGATAAAAGAGAGACGAATACATATACTAAGGTGGAGTACATAGCAAAGAGGGAGGGAAGACAAGCAGATTGGAAATTGTAATTTTGCATCCTTGAAGGGAGGTAGGATATGGCGAGGAGATGAAGACTGCCTGCGGTGCCACTCCTTAACACTAGGGGTCATAGAGAAGCGGTCAAGAAAATTGCACACCAAGTCAGGAGAGAGGCCAGTTCCTCAATATGCAAGCCCCTAACAATTTAAGTTACTCATGTTCAGTGGCAGTCTTTCCACTTCCCTGAACAAATCATTTCTGACTGGGAGTTGTGAATCAACCCTTCCTGGCAGTTCTGAGAACAGTTTCTGAAGAGAAATGTGAGGAAGACCAGGGTTCCACAAGCAGTACTATCACAATATAGCCAAGATAGAAACTGTATACAGTTAAATTATGTTTGGTAGTGGCTTGGAAAGTGGAAGATGGACTTTCACTACGGTGTTGAGGATGAGCTCACCTGAGCCACTGTTCTTGGTGTGGACAAACAGCCCTCCAGACAACCTGTTGTCCATGGAAGGTCTACCCGTCCTCCCTTCCCCACTGCCGTCACACTGTGTGGGCCTAGGTCTGAAATAGCGCCACCTCAGGGCCTGGATGTTGCTCAGGATGTCTGCCAGCGAGGAGGCAGAGCCAGGCATAGTTCTGTGGTTCTGTGAGGGGACCTGGGGATCAGAGAACTCTGGAGCCGCAGACAGGCCCCTGGGGAAGGAGGAGCTGAAGACTGCTGAGTCTAGCTGCTTCAATACTCCGTCCAGGTCTGATGACGCCCGATCCAACAGGACCCTGAGAGAAGAGGACAAACATTCATTCTGATAAATCATAATGCGAGTTAACATTTATCAATAGACTTAAATCAAAGTCACGATAAAAACATAACCTACAATATACCTAACCTATAACACAACCATCTGAACAGAAGACAGCCAAGTCAAATATTTCACAAGAGAACAAATGGACGGCAGAGTGAGAGAGGTATGCTGTGACGTACCTGCCACCTCGGCCCACCCTCCTGCGGGCCAGTCCCACACAGCGTTGGGGTACAGAGAGAGCGGTGAGGGACTGACGATGCCGCAGAGCATCCAGCCCTGCCAACTCAGGGTGATCCCACAGGAGCCCAGAGCTCTGGTCCACACAGGGCTGCAGAGACAGGCAAAGGAAACAGTTACTTGTTTAGGCTAGCTACCAGTGTCATACAGACAGGACCAAATACCATCTTACCCACAGACTAGACCCAATACCACAATATTACCACTGATACTAATAATGTGTGGAATTGCAAATGAATGTGAGAGAATATACTTTAATTGCACTTGTGATTGCAGCGAGACTCACAGCGAGGTAATGGCATCCTGCTTTCCTTCTGAAGGCAAACGTTCCATCTGGATCATTTTCCTCGTCCGGTTCTGATGGGGGAGACTGAAGGAGAAGACAAAACCAACGCTATAAAATACACACTTGCACACAAACATAATGCTACATAACATATTAACTTCTTCATTATGATATTGTCATCATCAGGGCCCTGTTCTCAGAGGTACTGACCAGTGGGTAGTCCTCCTCTCCAGAGCTGTGGAAGTCATACTGTTTGATATCGGCCTTGTTGACGATGTGCTGGCGCTTGGCGGGCCTGCCGGGGCGGCACAGGGGTTCCCGCCTGGTGTACTTCTTCTTTGGTCTGATAAAGTCAAAGGGATCCTCGTCCTTCACCGAGACGTGGTGGTACCCATGGTGCTGGAGACAGCCTGACTTGTGCGTCTGAAAGAGAAAGACAGTGGAGTTAGAGGTCGTTAAGTGTCAGAGCCGGACAGACAAGATTTCTTCATAGTCAAATGATCAGAGTGAGAAGAGTTCATTGCTGCACTCCATTTCTTGAAATGTAATCAGTGTGCTGCAGGTTCATCCTACAGCATTCCCTATTCTGAACTGCTTGATTGTCAAATGTAAAACCCCCAGGTAAAACAAAAGAGGTAATGTTATGGTTGATAGAAGCCCTAATATTACCTTGATTTTGATCTCAGCTTTATGGTTATGGCGGTTCCCGTTGGTTAGAGTGATTGGAGCAGTGTAGACGGGCTTCTCAGCCAGAGGGGCCGTCACCTCACTGAGGACTTCACCCGTAAAGTCACCCATCTGATATCTACATGGAAACAACAGATAAATAATAAAGAAAACATTAATTCAATATACGACAGATAAAATAAAAAGCCAGCAGTAACTTCACCATCATTCATATTGACTGACAGTATTCACCATCAACATGTAAGAACAGGCTGAGAAAAGCTGTTCTCTTTTAGCACCGGGACTAGTAGTGTGTTAGTGTTAGAAACGACGTGAGAACTGCAATGACCACTCAGCATGAGCTGTAGCCTGCTCTGACCCAGGAAGCCCTGCTGGGCTACACCGTGCACCACTAACAGGACACGGGCTACAGTCACACGCGCATTGTGAGAAACAGGGCACCAATAAGGCACAGACTACAATCTCACAACACCCCCCTCCAACGGTTTTAAGGCTCACCTTTTCTCCACCACCTCCAGGGTGAGGTGCAGCAGCTCTCTCTTGCTCTTCTCCCTCCTCTTGATCATCTCCAGGATGGTGACCGTCCGGCTGAACTCCCTCCTCAGCTTCAACATCTTCTCATAGGACGCCTCGTCATTCTTACGGTTCTGAACATTGAGAGACACGGTCAAACAACTACACTAACCCTCAGGATCATCAAGCCTACACAGGGGTCCTGACTGATTAAGGGTACAGAGAGACATGAAAATGTTTGGAGAGCACATTACAGGGGCGACAACATACTGTAGCTAACATGAAACAAATCACTTGCAACATCATTCAAATATTAATTAAATTGTGCGAGGCTCCAAGCCTTGATAGAATAGAAACAATGTTTTAACGTTTTCCTTTGCAATGCGAGTTGCTATGATGGAAGGTCATCACAGACTGAACGAGCAGCAAATTATTGCTTGATACTGAAACTCCATATAATCTAAGTGTGAGGAGACACCTTCCTGGTCTGCATCTTCTCTGTGCGTCGTCTGAAGGCCACGTAGGCGTCGTTGTTGGTGGAGCCATCCCTCTTCTCAGACCTGATGAGGGGGATGAGCGACGGGCCCCGGCAGTTCTTCCTCTTCCTCACCCAGTAGTCGTACACTGACTTCAGGAGGTAGTCATCCTCGTTCAGCAGCAGCTTGGCCTCTGTGATAGTGACCAGCTGTGAGCAGACAGAGATGGAAGTTTAGTTTATTACAACGTTTCCCTTGATTATTTTCCAGAGCGAAGCCTCTTCAAGCAACATTACACCCAGGTCAATCTTCTATTAACACAGAGAACCTTTTTTGATAACACAATTGCTGCTGGTCCAGACGGAGGGTGTTATGTTACCTGGTTTGCGCTGGCTTTCTCCAACCTGTCCACCATGGTCTCAAACTGTATGGGTTTGATCTCCATCTTGCGGTTGAGTCTGTTGAGGAGGGTCTCATCCTCTGAGTCCATGTCATAGTCTGGCTGCTCATTGTCCAGACCCAGGGCTGTGAGAAGAGGAAGAGAGGATAAGGTGAAGTCAGCAAAGGCCTTCTTGGTGCAAATGCAAGAGTGTAGGGCCTCTTTAACTGATTACAGTTGGTCGGCTGCTGGACAGATTTCATCTTGTGAAAGTGATGTGGTAACAACTGACATCAATTGCTCTATAACCTTGGCTAAAAGACAGACAGCCAAAGATGTGCTAGCTAGCTGGTCAAAGAGTCCCTATTCAGATTTGGCACGCAACATTTCAGAAACTATTTGATAGCTTGTCGACATTTGTCCTCTGAGTGAATATGCATGTGTGAGAGTTGGATGGGAGGGAGTCTAGCCTACAGAGGCTGGTTCCAAGAAAATGATACTGACGCTGGATGTGGAAGAGTTGTTTGGGGATCCTGAGCTCTCCTTTGTAGAGGCGGTCGTAGTAAGTGATGTTGCTTTCCGCCTCAGGCACCGGGATGACCATGTTCTCCTTCTTCTCCCTGAAAACCGACTGAGCAGAGATGGCCCTCTGGAGATGGTGCTCCTGAGAGAGGGAGAGAAAGATGTTAAAAGTTTTGTAACCGTGTTGCTTCCGTCCCTCTCCTCGCCCCTACCTGGGCTTGAACCAGGGACCCTCCGCACACATCGAAAACAGTGCCCCTTGAAGCACCGTTACCTGTCGCTCCACAAAAGCTTTTGTGAAACCCTATATTGGCACAATTCAGACAGAAAGCGAGAGACAAATCAAATCAAATTTTATTGGCCACATGCGCCGAATACAACAGGTGCAGACATTACAGTGAAATGCTTACTTACAGCCCTTAACCAACAGTGCATTTATTTATTTTTATTAAAAAGTAAAATAAAACAACAAAAAAGTTTAAAGAAAAAAAGAGCAGAGGTAAAATAAAATAACAGTAGGGAGGCTATACATACAGGGGGGGTACTGGTGCAGAGTCAATGTGCGGGGGCACCGGCTAGTTGAGGTAGTTGAAGTAATATGTACGTGGGTATAGTTAAAGTGACTATTCATAAATAATTAACAGAGTAGCAGCAGCGTAAAAAGATGGGGTGGGGGGACAGTGCAAATAGTCCGGGTAGTCATTAGCTGTTCAGGAGTCTTATGGCTTGGGGGTAGAAGCTGTTGAGAAGTCTTTTGGACCTAGAATTGACACTCCGGTACCGCTTGCCGTGCGGAAGCAGAGAGAACAGTCTATGACTAGGGTGGCTGGAGTCTTTGACAATTTTGAGGGCCTTCCTCTGACACCGCCTGGTATAGAGGTCCTGGATGGCAGGAAGCTTGGCCCCAGTGATGTACTGGGCCGTACGCACTACCAGGCGGTGATGCAACCAGTCAGGATGCTCTCGATGGTGCAGCTGTAGAATTTTTTAAGGATCTGAGGACCCATGCCAAATCTTTTCAGTCTCCTGAGGGGGAATAGGCTTTGTCGTGCCCTCTTCACGACTGTCTTGGTGTGTTTGGACCATGATAGTTCGTTGGTGATGTGGACACCAAGGAACTTGAAGCTCTCAACCTGTTCCACTACAGGCCCGTCTATGAGAATGGGGGCGTGCTCAGTCCTCTTTTTTTTCCTGCAGTCCACAATCATCTCCTTTGTCTTGGTCACGTTGAGGGAGAGGTTGTTATCCTGGCACCACACGGCCAGGTCTCTGACCTCCTCCCTATAGGCTGTCTCATCGTTGTCGGTGATCAGGCCTACCACTGTTGTGTCGTCGGCAAACTTAATGATGGTGTTGGAGTCGTGCCTGGCAATGCAGTCATGGGTGAACAGGGAGTACAGGAGGGGACTGAGCACGCACCCCTGAGGGGCCCCCGTGTTGGATCAGTGTGGCAGATGTGTTGTTACCTACCCTTACCACCTGGGGGCGGCCCATCAGAAAATCCAGGATCCAGTTGCAGAGGGAGGTGTTTAGTCCCAGGATCCGTAGCTTAGTGATGAGCTTTGAGGGCACTATGGTGTTGAATGCTGAGCTGTAGTCAATGAATAGCATTCTCACGTAGGTGTTCCTCTTGTCCAGGTGGGAAAGGGCAGTGTGGAGTGCAATAGAGATTGCATCATCTGTGGTCTGTTGGGGCGGTATGCAAATTGGAGTGGGTCTAGGGTTTCTGGGATAATGGTGTTGATGTGAGCCATGACCAGCCTTTCAAAGCACTTCATGGCTACAGACGTCAGTGCTACAGGTCGGTAGTCATTTAGGCATGAGTCGTCACTACAGACTCCCTGGTTCGATTCCAGGCTGTATCACAACCGGCCGTGATTGGGCGTCCCATAGGGCGGCGCACAATTGGCCCAGCGTCGTCCGGATTTGGCCGGTGTAGGCCGTCATTGAATTTGTTCTTAACTGACTTGCCTAGTTAAATAAAAGGTAAAATAAAAATAAATAAAATAAATAGGCAGGTTATTAGGCAGGTTACAGAGGAAGAGAGAGAGAGGGAACCAGAGACAGTGAGTAAGGGAGCGAAAGACAATGATGCGATTGTAAATAACCTTTTTTTACTCCCATGTTTACATTTGCATGTTTGTATATCATGACTGCAAGGGGCTGCCTTTCATATAATGTACAAACGGTGAGCAGACAAGACGGTTTTGTCTGCAAATAACACTCTGTATGGCCTGGGTTCATAGGCGTCACAGCTGCACAGGCAAACCAACAGGTGATGAAACCTCACTGTCAAACCAGCATGGTGATGAAACCTCATGCAACAACTTGAAAGGTGTAGGACTCCTTTCATTGCTGTTTGACTGCAGGCAATACTACATCTTCACTGATGTAACAAGAATACCGATCAAAGACAGAAGTAGCTAGCTACACTACTAGTCTACAAGTGTGTCATGGTTATTTTATGGCGCCTTCATAGCCATTTGCCACCCACACATCTCCTGTTAGTTACTTTCTTATTAAAAAGACAGCTAGCTTGAGGCCAATGAATGAGAACCTAAGTTAACAAACCGTTAGCCAACCACTACTTTAGTTACTTTCTTTAGTTACCTACTTCAGACGTATATACAGTTGGATAAGAACCTCATTGCAAGTTAGTTAGCTAATGTTAGCTTCGCTAACTTGTGTTACGACAACGCACGCCTGTTTGTTATCAATCACATCCAAGAAAATGTACGTAAAATCATTCACGTCACTAGTCGAAGAAAGCGCTACCAATCATACAAAAAACTCGTTCTTTACGCTATTTGAGTATATATTTGCGTAAAGACCACGATTTACTACGCAAAGAGCGTGAAATGAAGGACTCTCAGCATAGACAAAGAACTACGTACGCACAAAACGTTGCGTAAACGCATCAAGAATACAATCGCCCTGCTGTACACCTGAAATATTTTTAAAGATATCTCAATATTAAAACGTTTTCTTACCGATTCTTCTTCTTTTTCCATCCCCGTAGGCATCTGTGGCACAGCCCGGTTGATCGAAACGCAGTCATTTAGGTCCGGAAGGTCTTTGTTGCGGTATATGGGGAGAGGTTTGGCGGCGTCTAGCGCTCGCGCTCGGAACGATAGTTTACTCATTGTTGGCCCCTTTCGCAATCACATTGAATGCGAAGAAAACATGTATCCCGCCAGAATTCGCTCAAAAACTCGGTATAAATCCACAAGGGACTCTGTTGTTTCCACAATAGTAGGATTCATTGGTTCCCATTCGGTCGAAATCCAGTGCGAAAAGCCATTTCTGGTCGAGTTCAACTGGATTTAGAAGCTATTTTTCTCGGGTGATTCTCTCCCAGTGCCATGGGAAACATGGCGGACATGTCCACAGCGCCTGAACAATCCCGACAGCCAGCGCGACACATCCGAAAAACATGGGCCCTGGTGTTGCGCGCGCATCTCATACAACATGCATGAAGAAAGCGTGTAACCTGGTTTTAATGTCTATGCACGCAAACACCACACTTATACATTTTGCCTAGTTAAGTATTACTTTTCAGTTGTGTTGGAAAAACGTATAACATGGGGATTGTTCACTTATCCCAAACACTCAGCCCAGTATGATCAATAACATTTTCAAAGGTTGTAGAGAGGGTCGTTGAACAATTTACAGATCACTTAAGTGTCCTTGTAGATACAACATATAATAAAATATATTTTGCCTTTAACTTGCACTGGCAATATAAAACACAGATGTGTTTGGATTTGCAGTGAATTAGGGTAGGTGGGTTGTAGTTAGTAGCTTGAAGGAGAAAATCTGATACATGGACTGGAAGAGACTATAAAATGACAAACCACAGTTGATAGAATACATTTTATTGCAAAACGAATGCAATACTTTGTCAAATTTGTACATCCCTTTGGAACAAACACAATGGAAAGATTTTGAACAAAGCATAATAGCCACCTTTCACTGCCTATAATTTCAGGCACACTTTTTTTAAATTGAAAAAACGTCTGCTGGAGAAACAGAAAGGGGAAATGCTACAGCTGTTATGTTTGCAGAAAGATGTATTAAAAACTATAAGAACCTCAAGTACAAAAGCTATTTCGACATTGGTGCCATATTATGTAATAATAATAATAATGTGACTGTTAAAATGCCAAATGACTTAAAATGAAAATATTTTCACACTGTAAAACCATAAAACCAATGTGGGCCACTTGGCTTATACCATATGTTCTGAAATAAAGATATTTAAAATATTAAATAAATAGCTAATTCAAACGATAAATATATTTTTTTTATAGGACGGCAAAACATTTATTCCATATAAACAATCACTCAAGATCATTGCAACAGACAAAAAGTTGAAAATGGAAGACCTAAATAATTTTTTCGCAATGTAACTCATAAAACTTTCATGATAAATAGGCCTAGTATTAGGCCAAGTATTTTGAAACGGAATACAACAGTTCAAAATATAAGATGATTTACTTAGTCCATGGACTAGTGTTGAGCTCTTCATATTTTAGGAATAAGAGTGCAATATTAAATCATTATAAACAAGATGGATATAATGTTGATGACGCTCGTATTAACACTTGGTAACCTAGCTATTACATTTTAGGATGTCCTGTCGTTCTGTTAGGATTGAATACAGATTACTTGATATTGTATTTTAAATACAATTTTTTTTTTTTTTACAAACTTACCAAGAACATTTCTTAGTTTTACAATTTCAGATTTTCACAAGACTGATCAAATCAGAAGGTGCCCCTCCTGAGTCAGGGTATAGAGTACAGAAAATGAAGTTCACTCATTTAATATAAACATTTAAAAATGTCTTCAGTCCATGGGTATATACTCAGTTTTGACACGAGTAAGAAAATAAGAACACTATATGCACATACGAGTGTCCAAAAATGTACACTTCATAAATAAACACAAATATATAAATTCATATTTAGAAACCACCGACTGAATATTTATCCATATATAGGCTGTTCATTTGTTTTAGGAGAAAAATATATAATACTATAAAGGCTTTTCAGAGTGTACAACTCTTAGTATTATTGCTAAGTAACCACTGTATATCTACAAATAAATATGGGATTCATAAATAATAATAAGTACAAAAGCAACACAAACAATGAAAATCAACAAAATTAAGGCCACCTATTCAATAGAGTATTAAAAAGGTAAATAATATAAAGTAAAAGTCCCAACCTGTGATGGGGCATAGCTTTGGCAGCTGGGGGTTGTAGTATTGGATATAAGGCTCGAATCAAAGTTCACTCTCATACTTTCTTGGGTCGTTTAAACTTGCTTTGCAGAGCAAAGGAAACCAATGCGTATAATACTGATCTCTTCTGACCTGTAAATGTGCAGTCCATCCAATAAGGCATTTTGACACTTGAAATGACATATTCAAGGGTAAAAAAACAAAAACAAAAAACAGAGCAATGCTCAATTACATGATTTGAACCATTTAAATATTAACACAATTGTAAATTAAACACTAGTGACAGAACCATATATTACTACTGTTGATATTGAATACTTAGTTTCAGAATGCATGTACAGTTGAAGTCGGAAGTTTACATACACCTTAGCCAAATACATTTAAACTCAGTTTTTCACAATTCCTGAAATTTAATCCTAGTACAAATTCCCTGTTTTAGGTCAGTTAGGATCACCACTTTATTTTAAGAATGTGAAATGTCAGAATAATAGTAGAGAGAATGATTTATTTCAGCTTTTCTTTCTTTCATCACATTCCCAGTGGGTCAGAAGTTTACATACACTCAATTAGTATTTCGTAACATTGCCTTTAAATTGTTTAACTTGGGTCAAACGTTTCGGGTAGCCTCCACAAGCTTCCCACAATAAGTTGGGTGAATTTTCGCCCATTCCTCCCGACAGAGCTGGTGTAACTGAGTCAGGTTTGTAGGCCTCCTTGCTCGCACACGCTATTTCAGTTCTGCCCACAAATTTTCGCTAGGATTGAGGTCAGGGCTTTGTGATGGCCACTCCAATACCTTGACTTTGTTGTCCTTAGGGTCATTGTCCATTTGGAAGACCCATTTGCGACCAAGCTTTAACTTCCTGACTGATGTCTTGAGATGTTGCTTCAATATATGCACATAATTTTCCTTCCTCATGATGCCATCTATTTTGTGAAGTGCACCAGTCCCTCCTGCAGCAAAGCACCCCCACAGCATGATGCTGCCACCCCCGTGCTTCACGGCTGGGATGGTGTTCTTCGGCTTGCAAGCGTCCACCTTTTTCCTCCAAACATAACGATGGTCATTATGGCCAAACAGTTCTATTTTTGTTTCATCAGACCAGAGGACTTTTCTCCAAAAAGTACGATCTTTGTCCCCATGTGCAGTTGCAAACTGTAGTCTGGCTTTTTTTATGGTGTTTTTGGAGCAGTGGCTTCTTCCTTGCTGAGTGGCCTTTCAGGTTATGTTGATATAGATACTTTTGTACCCGTTTCCTCCAGCATCTTCACAAGGTCCTTTGCTGTTGTTCTGGGATTGATTTGCACTTTTCGCACCAAAGTACGTTCATCTCTAGGAGACAGAACGCATCTCCTTCCTGAGCGATATGACGGCTGCGTGGTCCCATGGTGTTTATACTTGCGTACTATTGTTTGTACAGATGAACGTAGTACCTTCAGGCGTTTGGAAATTGCTCCCAAAGATTAACCAGACTTATTGAGGTCTACAATTTTTTGGCTGATTTCTTTTGATTTTCCCATGATGTCAAGCAAAGAGGCACTGAGTTTGAAGGTAGGCCTTGAAATACATCCACAGGTACACCTCCAATTGACACAAATGATGTCAATTAGCCTATCAGAAGCTTCTAAAGCCATTTTCCAAGCTGTTTAAAGGCACAGTCAACTTAGTGTATGTAAACTTTTGACCCACTGGAATTGTGATACAGTGAATTATAAGTGAAATAATCTGTCTGCAAATAATTGTTGGAAAAATTACTTGTGTCATGCACAAAGTAGATGTCCTAACCGACTTGCCAAAACTATAGTTTGTTAACAAGAAATTTGTGGAGTGGTTGAAAAACGAGTTTTAATGACTCCAGCCTAAGTGTATGTAAACTTCCAACTTCAACTGTATACCACACAAATTAGTCTATACTTTACAATAACTTACCCTTTTTAAAATGAACACAAAACACTCACTGTTAAACTCATTTAGCAGATATAACAGAAAATCTGTATCAAAAATATTCAGAGAAAATACATTTTTACTTTGGGAGTAAATATAATTTAACTTAGAGGCATTTTTTCTGACTCCTTCCCTTGATGGCTTTTTCTTTTCTTCGATAAAATTGATAAAAACAAGAAGAAAAAGGAAAAACATAAGAAAGTATTTGCATGTCTCTCTATGTTCAGATAGACCCACAGTATCTATTTTCAAATCTTCCAGTTTACTTTTCTTGGGACTCTGTATGCCTTTCCAGAAAATAGTGTCTGTTGAAGTTCAGATGTTCATAATCCTTCTATTGTTTGATGCTTAACAGCGTGTTTCAATAGATCTCTAGAAAAAGCCTTTATGATGCTTTTCTTTTGAAAAAAGACATCTCTGGCCGCACCGTTTTGTGCAAAATAAAAACATAGATTGACAGGTACATTAGAAAATGAGCATTAGATCGACTCATCTATGATAATACTGAACAATATATACAATTAAATCACTCAATATAACGTTGTACTGTTTTCCTTTGTCAATTGTACAATAAATGCATCAGAAATATTTGTACCAACAATTTCCTCATATATAGAATCTCATTATTTTCCACAAGGACAAGCTAGCTGCTGCTACATCACAGCTATTATTTTGCAGCTAGGTTCCTCCATCCTTTCTTGTACTTCTTTCACTGTCAGTATCATGGTGGTGGTCAAGGTGGAAGGGGTGATGACTGATCGTTGCACCAATCCAGTTGGACTAAGTACCAAGCTGTTTAACAGAGTGGACAACGGTCGCTTCTAATGCACACACAGCTAACTAGTAGCAGTTCCACAACCGGCTACACTGAAACCCATTGGCTAGATGGACCGCTACCCAGAAGGCCACTGAAGTAACGGATCCACACATTCACTGTCATCTGGAGATCTTCCTCCTCTTGGGTTTAGGGGTCTTGACTTGTCGGTCTCTCTGTGACATCTGGTGCACCAAAGAAATGGGGAAAAAAAGGAAAACCATCTTTAGAGACTGTAGACAAACACATTTGGACACACAAAGGTCATGTCTATAGAGGTGTGTACGTACAGTACACGTAACCAAATAATATGAATCTACCCATGATGTTTAGATGTCAGAGTACTCACATTGCCTGTCATCTTATCCAGCTCGCTCATAGCCTCCTGTATAGCAGCTTCTAGGTGGTTATTCCATTTTCCCCCACTGTAAGAAAGAGAACGTATTTGTATTACTGTATCCTCATCTGATAAAACAATATCCAGGGACAGAATAAAGCATATCCATCTAGGGCAACAATTCTCAACTGGTGGGTTGCGACAAATTTGGGTCACAGGAGGTTTTGAATGGGTTGCGAGTGTGAGTAAAAAAAAAAAAAAAAAAAATATATATATATATACATATACACACACACACACATATATATACATATATATACATATATACATACACACATATATATATATACAGTGGGGAGAACAAGTATTTGATACACTGCCGATTTTGCAGGTTTTCCTACTTACAAAGCATGTAGAGGTCTGTAATTTTTATCATAGGTACACTTCAACTGTGAGAGATGGAATCTAAAACAAAAATCCAGAAAATCACATTGTATGATTTTTAAGTAATTAATTTGCATTTTATTGCAGGACATAAGTATTTGATCACCTACAAACCAGTAAGAATTCCGGCTCTCACAGACCTATTAATTTTTCTTTAAGAAGCCCTCCTGTTCTCCATTCATTACCTGTATTAACTGCACCTGTTTGAACTCGTTACCTGTATAAAAGACACCTGTCCACACACTCAAACAGACTCCAACCTCTCCACAATGGCCAAGACCAGAGAGCTGTGTAAGGACATCAGGGATAAAATTGTAGACCTGCACAAGGCTGGGATGGGCTACAGGACAATAGGCAAGCAGCTTGGTGAGAAGGCAACAACTGTTGGCGCAATTATTAGAAAATGGAAGAAGTTCAAGATGACGGTCAATCACCCTCGGTCTGGGGCTCCATGCAAGATCTCACCTCGTGGGGCATCAACGATCATGAGGAAGGTGAGGGATCAGCCCAGAACTACACGGCAGGACCTGGTCAATGACCTGAAGAGAGCTGGGACCACAGTCTCAAAGAAAACCATTAGTAACACACTACGCCGTCATGGATTAAAATCCTGCAGTGCACGCAAGGTCCCCCTGCTCAAGCCAGCGCATGTCCAGGCCCGTCTGAAGTTTGCCAATGACCATCTGGATGATCCAGAGGAGGAATGGGAGAAGGTTATGTGGTCTGATGAGACAAAAATATAGCTTTTTGGTCTAAACTCCACTCGCCGTGTTTGGAGGAAGAAGAAGGATGAGTACAACCCCAAGAACACCATCCCAACCGTGAAGCATGGAGGTGGAAACATCATTCTTTGGGGATGCTTTTCTGCAAAGGGGACAGGATGACTGCACCGTATTGAGGGGAGGATGGATGGGGCCATGTATCGCGAGATCTTGGACAACAACCTCCTTCCCTCAGTAAGAGCATTGAAGATGGGTCGGGGCTGGGTCTTCCAGCATGACAACGACCCGAAACACACAGCCAGGGCAACTAAGGAGTGGCTCCGTAAGAAGCATCTCAAGGTCCTGGAGTGGCCTAGCCAGTCTCCAGACCTGAACCCAATAGAACATCTTTGGAGGGAGCTGAAAGTCCGTATTGCCCAGCGACAGCCCCGAAACCTGAAGGATCTGGAGAAGGTCTGTATGGAGGAGTGGGCCAAAATCTCTGCTGCAGTGTGTGCAAACCTGGTCAAGACCTACAGGAAACGTATGATCTCTGTAATTGCAAACAAAGGTTTCTGTACCAAATATTAAGTTCTGCTTTTCTGATGTATCAAATACTTATGTCATGCAATAAAATGCAAATTAATTACTTAAAAATCATACAATGTGATTTTCTGGATTTTTGTTTTAGATTCCGTCTCTCACAGTTGAAGTGTACATATGATAAAAAATTACAGACCTCTACATGCTTTGTAAGTAGGAAAACCTGCAAAATCGGCAGTGTATCAAATACTTGTTCTCCCCACTGTGTATATACATATATACATACATACACACACACACACACACACACACACACACACACACACACACACACACACACACACACACACACTTACATATACACAGGTGCAGCTCAATAAATTAGAATATTGTGGAAAAGTTAAGTAATTTCAATAATTCAATTGACAAAGTGAAACTCATATCGTGGATTAATTACACAAAAAGTGAAATAGTTCAAGCCTGTATGTTTTAATCTTGAGGATTACGGCTTACAGCTCATGAAAACCCCAAATTCAGTATCTCAGAAAATTAGAATAGTGAAAAAGTTCAATATTGTAGACTCAAGGTGTCACACTCTAATCAGCTAACTAACTCAAAACACCTGCAAAGGTTTACTGAGCCTTTAAATGGTATCTCAGTCCAGTTCAGTAGGCTTCACAATCATGGGGAAGACTGCTGACTTGACAGTTGTGCAGAAGATAGTCATCAACACACTCCACAAGGAGGGAAAGCCTCAAAAGATCATTGCTAAAGAAGCTGGCTGTTCACAGAGTGCTGTATTCAAGCATATTCATGGAAGTCGAGTGGAAGGAAGAAGTGTGGTAGGAAAAGGTGCACAAGCAACAGGGATAACCGGAGCCTTGAGAGGAGTGTCAAGCAAAGGCCATTCAAAAATGTGGGGGAGCTTCACAAGGAGTGGACTGAGGCAGGAGTCAGTGCATCAAGAGCCACCACACACAGACGTATCCAGGAAATGGGCTACAACTGTCGCATTCCTCGTGTCAAGCCACTCCTGAACCAGAGGCAACGTCAGAAGCGTCTTACCTGGGCTAAGGAGAAAAATAACTGGTCTGTCGCTCAGTGGTCCAAAGTCCTCTTTTCAGATGAAAGTAAATGTTGCATTTCATTTGGCAATCAAGGTCCCAGAGTCTGGAGGAAGAGTGGAGAGGCACAGAATCCAAGTTGCTTAAAGTCCAGTGTGAAGTTTCCACAGTCAGTGATGATTTGGGGAGCCATGTCATCTTCGGTTGTTGGTCCACTGTGTTTCATCAAGTCCAAAGTCAACTCAAGCCATCTACCAGGAAATGTTAGAGCACTTCATGCTTCCTTCTGCTGACAAGCTTTATAGAGATGCTGATTTCATTTTCCAGCAGGACTTGGCACCTGCCCACATTGCAGAAGGTACCAATACCTGGTTCAATGACCATGGGATTACTGTGCTTGATTGGCCAGCAAACTCGCCTGATCTGAACCCCATAGAGAATTTATGGGGTATTGTCAAGAGGAGAGAGACACGAGACCCAACAATGCAGATGAGCTGAAGGCCGCTATCGAAGCAACCTAGGCTTCCATAACACCTCAGCAGTGCCCCAGGCTGATCGACTCCATGCCACGCCGCATAGATGCAGTGATTCATGCAAAAGGAGCCCCAACCAAGTACTGACTGCATGTACAAGAACATACTTTTCAGAAGGCCGACATGTCTATTAAATTAAATTTTTTCACTGGTCTTATGTCATATTCTAATTTTCAGAGATACTGAATTTGGGGTTTTCATGAGCTGTAAGCCGTAATCATCAAGATTAAAACAAATACAGGCTTGAAGTATTTCACTTTTTTGTGTAATTAATCCACGATATGAGTTTCACTTTGTCAATTGAATTATTGAAATTACTTAACTTTTCCACAATATTCTAATTTATTGAGGTGCACCTGTATATATATATTATATATATATATATATATATATATATATATAATTTAATTTATTATTTTAATGAAATATACTCCAGTCTGAACTTAAACGACTAAACCCAGGTAGAACGGGTGTAGAAATTAGAATGAACCTATATATTTTTTTAAACCTCTGAACAATTGTTCTTCAATCACAGTATTTTCAATAGTTAATAGCAGCGCTATTTAGCAGATTTGGTTGATTTTGTGGTCTCAAACCAGTGAGCTTGACATTCTTCATCAAGAATATGGGCAAATTGGAATTATTGACAATGAAAAGATGGGACTGTTGTTCTCGTCATGTAATTGGTACATTTACTATCAATATTGCATTAAAGTTTTCCAGATTGCATTTTGGCAAAAATAATAAATTGTGATGTGAATATTGGAGCGCGACAGACAACCTGGTTCAATTTGGGTCCAGAGACAAAACCAGTTGAGAACCACTGATTTAGGGTAAGTAACTTACTTTCTAGTTATCTTGTTTGCTTTGTGTAGTGTCTCCAGATCCTCTGTTAGTGTCCTCTGGAAATTGTCTGACTCTATCTGAGGGCAAGTAGAAACAACATTACCAAACACTGACCGGGAGAATAAAACCAAAACTTTACCAAAGAATCATCTGCATTGACAGTGTTAAACAGCCAACGGAAACCAAAAGAACATTACCCTGTCCTCAGGACAGAAGTTCTAAATGAGTTTGCAGAATGACTCGTGTCAAAGCAATGACTTCATTTCACACTCAATAATCACAATGACTCAACTTCAATAAAGCCTTATTGTCTGATGACTAACTTGCAAGCTACTTTAATTAACACAAGAAAAGACAAAAGAGAATTCAACAGTTTTCTACTTAAAAGAGACAGCATCTTCTCCTACCCTTCCAAACTGCTTTCAATTTCTGATTTACACAACACAAGGGGTCAGATTAATTCAAATAGCTGTCCACACATAGGCCTATAAAAAAAGATGGGTGTGGCAAATTCATATAAAAGCACATTCCCCCAATCCCAAATTGAAGTGCCTAGACAGTAGCTTTGAAAATAACTAAAACAAAGCACAATAAATTCAAGCAATGGATGTCGACAGACGTGAAAATGGGGGTGAAACGACCTCTAATTCTTTGGCGTCTCTGAGGCCTTTGGCAGTGCCGCAGAGCAGAACTCGTTTTTGAATGCAGAACACCGGAGTTCTTCTCTCTCCCTGCCATGCTCTTTGTGAAGAATATAATATCCTTCAGGGACATGCCATACCTACTGTCTGCACATTTTAAAACTCCTCTCTTATACAAAGCATTATCTTGCCATCATTAAAAAAAACCTGCAAAGGTCATGTGCACAATAGTAGTAGCAGCAAAAGCGTAATGTAAAATTGTGTTGAAACTGAGGGTGGAATTGTGGCGGAGACCTCCACTTCCTTATGTGATGTAGTCATGTGACCAATCATAATCACACAACACTGACAATAATCTCACTTTTCCCTGTATGCTGTTCACCATCCCAGGGGAGTACATGTGCCCCTCGCTCCCCATCTTGCCTGGCCATGTAGGGAAGCCTTTGCCCTGGCCCCAGAGCAGCTCTCCCGGGTAGTGGGTCTGAGTTATTGGCCTGTGGTGGAGCTGGAGACCCTCACTGGAGGAGGTTGAGTCCCCAGGCCTCAGGTCCTCCTCGCCGCTCAGGCTCCCGTTCAGGTGCCCATTGTAATACCTGTTGTAGCAGTGACCGTTGAGTTGGCCGTGGAGTTGGCCTTGGAGTTGGCCGTTCAGATGTCCGTTCAGATGTCCGTTGAAGAGGCTGTAGTCCTTGGTGCAGTGGCCCTCTGGTGGGGACAGGCTGGGGTGTCTGGGTCTTCCCGAGGTGCGGCCCCTACCGTTGCCGTTCATATGGGCATACAGGCCACTGGGGACCTGCAGTGGTGTTTGATCCTGGGGGCCTAAGTGGGCCTGACCTTTGGGCCTCTCTGGGTAGGTGCCGTTTCTGCTCTGGGCTAAGGAAAGCTGTTGGAGGAGCTCGTCATCACGCCACAGACCAGCCTGCTCCTGGCCCTCCGCCTCCCCATCCCATTGTCTTCTCTGGGCTCCACGTCGAGGTGAGCGGAATCTTGTAGGAGATTCCATGGCAACGGGGGAGAAGCTGTTGTTGTTCCGTTCAGGGGTCTTCTTGCGGGGCCGGCCCACCTTGGGATGGTGTCGGTTCTCTGGCACTGGCTCCTGATATGAGCGGAGGGGGCCGGTGTGGATGACAGAGTTGATCGCATGGGAGAGGTCGACAGGCTCGCAGACAACAGTAGCAGCGAAGGTACCGCTACCACCCGTTGATGTAATGGCATTAGACGTGCTCTTGCTGGCCGTGCCCATCACTGCCCTGTGGATGGGATCAATAACTTCTCCCCCACCACTGTGAAGACCTTGGGCAGCCTGGTATTCTCGATGACCCTCCTGTAGGCAAGGGGCACCGGGTTGGGACATGGACATAATCCCTGGTCGACTCATTATAGTTCTGTTGGGCAGTGGAATCCTCTCAGGCAAACCCCCCTGTAACAAAAAGAGAGGAAGAGAGGCAGTCACATTGACAACAATAATCATCCTTAAAATACAACCAACATCCAAATACACAGAAAGTAAGAGAAAATAGGACTCAAACAGATGGAGAACACATCAGACAGACCTGGAAGCTCTGAAGGAGGCTGTTCATGGGGTTGGAGGCAACACCATCAGGGAGAGGGGCATCAGGATGGGAGCCGTGGCCCTGGAACCTGTGGTGCTGCTGGCCCTGTATGGAGTGCCGGCCCGGACCCTGAACAAGCTGTTGCTGCTGCTGTCTCTGTTGTTGCAGTGTATTGGCCTGGCTGCTCCTGATGAGAGACTGGAGACTCTCCTCTTGGGCCTGCCTCAGCTCACAGCTCAGAGAACTACTGACCTCAACTGTACAAAGGGAGGGAGAGAGAGAGAGGAGAGACAGAGGAGACAGGAGAAAGACAGAGGAGACAGTAGAGAGAGGTGTGAGAGATTAAAAAGTAACAAGAGGGGTGAGAAAATTGGGAGAATGAGGAGTGACGTGAGGGAGAGTAGAGGGAGATCTGATTATGAGGAGTGAAGTGATGTAGGTGTGTAGAGGGAGATCTGATTATGAGGAGTGAAGTGAGGTATTAGGTGTGTAGATGGAGATCTGATTATGAGGAGTGAAGTGAGGGAGAGTAGAGGGAGATCTGATTATGAAGAGTGAAGTGAGGTATTAGGTGTGTAGATGGAGATCTGATTATGAGGAGTGAAGTGAGGGAGAGTAGAGGGAGATCTGATTATGAGGAGTGAAGTGAGGGAGAGTAGAGGGAGATCTGATTATGAGGAGTGAAGTGAGGTATTAGGTGTGTAGAGGGAGATCTGATTATGAGGAGTGAAGTGAGGTATTAGGTGTGTAGAGGGAGATCTGATTATGAGGAGTGAAGTGAGGGAGTGTAGAGGGAGATCTGATTATGAGGAGTGAAGTGAGGGAGAGTAGAGGGAGATCTGATTATGAGGAGTGAAGTGAGGGAGAGTAGAGGGAGATCTGATTATGAGGAGTGAAGTGAGGGAGAGTAGAGGGAGATCTGATTATGAGGAGTGAAGTGAGGGAGAGTAAAGGGAGATCTGATTATGAGGAGTGAAGTGAGGGAGAGTAGAGGGAGATCTGATTATGAGGAGTGAAGTGAGGTATTAGGTGTGTAGAGGGAGATCTGATTATGAGGAGTGAAGTGAGGGAGAGTAGAGGGAGATCTGATTATGAGGAGTGAAGTGAGGGAGAGTAGAGGGAGATCTGATTATGAGGAGTGAAGTGAGGGAGAGTAGAGGGAGATCTGATTATGAGGAGTGAAGTGAGGGATTAGGTGTGTAGAGGGAGATCTGATTATGAGGAGTGAAGTGAGGGAGAGTAGAGGGAGATCTGATTATGAGGAGTGAAGTGAGGTAGAGTAGAGGGAGATCTGATTATGAGGAGTGAAGTGAGGGAGAGTAGAGGGAGATCTGATTATGAGGAGTGAAGTGAGGGAGAGTAGAGGGAGATCTGATTATGAGGAGTGAAGTGAGGTATTAGGTGTGTAGAGGGAGATCTGATCATGAGGAGTGAAGTGAGGGATTAGGTGTGTAGAGGGAGATCTGATCATGAGGACAACACTGCTCCACGCTAACTGAGGTTTTTCAAAGATAAGCAAACACAGTGAAGTCTGAGGAACTTGGCAAACTACAGACAACAACGGGAGACCTAATAGACTGACTCTGTGACGATCACAAAAAGCAGGGGATTCTCTGAGAGGAAGTAGTGAAGGGGGATCACTTGGGGATAGCACAATCACTCCAAATAAGACAATTACTAGTGGTAATTGAAAGAGGATGTGTTGAAATACAAAGAGACGGTAAAAGAGAGTAGTGTAGGTCGCAAAAACAAACAAGCCCAGAATGTACTTTGTGAGGAATTGATTGAACAAATACGAAAGGAAAACGAAACCGACAAGTGAGAAAATAAAGAATATGCTGTAATGAAAACTAAGAGGTCAACTGTGGTTCATTTGGGCTTTCCTGACTACAGACAAACTTCAGACCAATTATAGGTGTTTTAGATAAGATGGCCACTGACTCTTAAATCAATGGGGATATAAATCTTGAACGTACACTTCTAGAACTCGAGCAATAGGCCTAGATGGATATCCATACATTACCTCAACACTGTGTCAACAAGGATATGGTGAATAACAGGAGAAGTAGTCAATAATAGCAGTCAGTGACAACATTAGGAGTCTATTGCTATTGAAATAAAGGTTCATTTAACAAAAACAGATGACAAACCTCAACAAAGTAGCCAGTAGCCACCATGATCCGCTAACTTTGATGGTTTCGGAGAACATTTGCTGAATCCACAGAGCTTGGACAGGAAGTGAATGTGATCATATGTGTGGAGCTCCTGTATCGAAACAGAAATGCATCCCATGTTTATGGATGTGTGGCATGTCTCTCACTGTAAGGGCATTGGCTTGTCCAGGTGCTAGTGCTCCCTACTCTCTGGCAGATAGCTATTGACTTGACATTACTATGAAAGTGCATAAAATACAAGATTCCACCTACTGTAATTAGCTTACGCTAAAGGGTTCATCTGTCTAGATACATTTGACTCCTGATAATTGCACATCAAAGGAAATGCAATTTCCCTTCAAGGGGAGTGCAGCTCACTAGTCCCAATTCAAATTCTAAAATGTTTGTGGCACTGCCTGCTATCTGCATTCACAACAATCCCAAGCCGTTGCATACATCAGGAGTCGACTGTACGTCATATAATCAGACTAGAGCTAAGAGAATGTATCTAGACTAAATGCCATTACTAGCCTTTGCTTAGTACTTATCACTTCAAAATAAAAGGACAGAGACAATAAGTATCTGGTGGCAGAGCAGGTCTTCTAATAATCTACCCAACCACCTACAACCATTAAGATTAGAGCTGGGACGATACACCAAAAATGATCCACACCGACCATACCCATCACTTATCGCAGGCATTTTTGCTGATATCGTTCATTGCGAAAAGTAGCCTATCCTAGAGAAATGTGAAGTTTGAAATGAGTTTGCTAATATGGGTGATTGTTAAAGAGACAATTGATGTCTACAACCATCAAACCAGTAGTAGTAGTTTAAAGGATAATAATAAAAACTGTGGTCCACATTCATGTTATAAACATTCTATTTATCATTACCGCAACAATTTATTGCAATACGGATTTTTATCCATATGACCCAGCTCTAATTAAGATCAAATCCCCATCTCAGGAATTCAGATTAATATTATATCACTTGTTTACCAGAGCCGCTGCTCTCATTTTCTGTGACCGTCTTGCCCATCCTTCGCTCTCTAAGCGCAGGACTGTAGGTTCCTAGAGGCTAGCTCGAGGACACAGAGACAGCGACATTAGCCAAGAGGACACACACAGCCGTCTGATACACGAACCAGTGACGCGTGGCTAGTGGCTCTTCTTGGGCTCTCTGTCACAGACTGTCACCCTTGGCAATGCAGAGGCCTGGCCGCAGACGACAGAGGACATTGGAAGGAAATGCATTCCACAACACTGCGGTCGCAGTGTAGATAGCACTAATGTAGATAGCAACTAGGCCTAATGTTTACAGTAGAACAACTTCTAGCATAATACTTGATAATCTCACTTGGTGAGTGTTGTTTTGTCTTTTGTCATTTCATACAATGAGAGTAATTACACTGAGGATTGTATACAGAGAAACACGTATCATGATCATAATAGCCAAGATGGAGAGTTGGGTGTCGGGTCAAAGCATTGTTGAAAAGATGACTTAGTTTAGCTGAAAATGGGTTAAAGAAATTAGAGCCCAAACAAAAAAGCATGAACAATAAGGCCTGATGTGAGAAATACAAGTTGAAAAACATATCAGAAATGTTTTATCTGCCTGCTTGTACAAAATGTTTGCCTTTAAAAGAAGTCTTGCACAGGCTTAAAATACATCACTTTTATTTGGCTATGCAGCAGAAAATGTTTTGCAGTCAGCTCTATGTTGAAAGCTTCTAAAAGAGCACAAGTGACAAAGACTGCAACAAAATGAGACTGAACTGAATGAAAAGGACAAGGAGTTATGCAAAAAGATGGTCATATTCATAAGGTAGCCTAATACAAAATAGTAGCTTTTTGCCCAAACATCTATATTGCTCACCTTGTGATCATTGTAATAAAGTAAGCTACTGTATATCCAAATATTTGAATTACTACGACAAAAACTATACCAGAGTTCTCCATAATGGGGCACAACACAAATTACTGTCCTTCGCGTAACCGCAAAAAAAGTGTAGGTAGAGACTATTGACTTAAAACGTCATAATATAAATCTATGATTTTGCTACAAAGGATAAGAGAACAAAAGTCAACAAAATCAAGAAGAAACAGCTGCTTACCTGACTTAGAGGGGGCTTGGACACTGCCATTGGACATCATGGGAGGCAATCCTGCCCTGCCTCTGAAGTGGGGGTTGCCTTGCGCCTGGGATGGTTTCTGATAATGTCCAAACTGCTGCTGCTGGTGAGAGTTTGGGTTGCTCTGCATTGACCCCATGGCTGCATGTTGTCCACCACCGTAGCCCAGCACCCCAAAGTTCCCAGCTAAGGCGGGTTCCTGCATTTGGTTCATTGGCCCGTTGAACTGCTCCATGTTTAGATCCTGGCCTGAAATCTGACCTTCACTGTTCATGTTCTGGAAGCCAGGGACCATCGCTCTGCCCTGGAGTTGAGGCCCCTGCAAGCTCTGCTGCAAAGCTGACATACGAGGCAAAGCTTCCTCCAAGAAGGGTGATTTGCCAGATCGGGCCAGGCTGTGGCCCACATGGCTTGGCCCATTATGGGCACTCTGGTGGCTCATGGATTGGAGCAGCTGGGCCATGGAGGTGTTTGGGGGCAGGCTACCCTGCTGCAACATTCTCCTCAAAGGCTCTGGAAAGCTAGATGAAATAGATCCAGAGCCACCCATCGGATGCTTGAGCACGTCGAAAGCCCTGTCATTGTTGATGCCACCACCGCTGACATCATTGGACAGTTTCCGCTTGCGATTCGCCTCTCTCTGCTGAGCCATACCCATGAGTTTGTCTCTTAATGCTGCTCTTCCAGTTTGACCCTCGCTCGCCAACGGCCCAGGATTAGGTAGATATCTCTGGTTTAAAGTGCTGTGTCCATCTAGGTTCCCACCTCTGCCTCCACCAACCAGCCCTGGGTGTCCCAAACTGCTGCCACTGTGAGCCTCTGTGCCTGCAGCCGCTGCGCTGTCGGGATGTTTGTTTTGATTTACTAGCTGTGCTTTGGCTGCGGCTGACAGAAGACTGCTGGCTGGGAAGGAAGCAGGATTCTGTTGATCTAGCATCTGGTTAAGGGGCATTCCTACCGAGTGATTCCTTTGAAGGACACTATCAGATCCGGGAGCTGGAGGGCACATGGAGTTGGAATGCCTGCTTAGACTACTGTTCATCCTCCCTGGAAGGTAGTTGGGGTTATCGTTCAAGTGATGGAGTTTGTCCATCTTATATGCAGAATTTGGGGGCATTGCAGGTCGAGGGGACCCCAAGGAGGCCCGAGGGGAGCGGGGATGTGGCTTTGAACCCCCACAAGGTACCTGGAGCCCCGTGGGGTGAGCAAAGCTCCCATGTTCAGAAGAACCGGAGGAACAACGTGAGCGGTGGGGTGACTCCTCCACCCTGGCAAGGATAGGCCCAGCCATATGTACCGGGGACACGATAGGTGAGGACGAGACAGATGGGGCAGGGTGGTGCTGGACCCTCTGGCCATGCCCAACAGGTCCAGACTTCCCAGTTGGCAAAGGCAGGTTGCTGGGCAAAGGGACACTGGCAGGGGGAATGTTTACATTCATTGGAGGTACCTGAGAATGACCAGATACGTTTGGCACTAAGGGACCCTGGCTTGGAATGGGGTCCAGGATACCAAGAGGGTCCTTCTCCGAGGAGGGAGGGAGCTGAGACAGGGACAAGTGTGACTGTGGGTGTGGATGGCATGCAGGCTGGGGCTTATGTTGAAAGTCGTTGTGGGGGAAGCTGCAGGAGGGCTTCTGCATATTGGGGCTTTTGGCATTGATGGGTACATTAGTCCTTCCTACTATGGGACACGAGGGCTGGGTGGCCGAAGGCGAGCCGTGGAGCAGAACACTAGGTGGTGAGAGAGGTGTAAAACGATCACCGTTCATATGGGTAGAGCCTGGGCTGCAAGCTCCATGAAAACCAAGCATGTTGGGGTCAGGACTCCCCAGAAGTTCAGTCCTTGGGGAGGGAGTCCCATCACCATAATGCTGTGAGCCACATGAGGTGGAGGACGAGTGGTTGAGCAGGACACTGCGGCTGCGATAGGGTGACCGTTGTTGGCTACTGCGATCACCTCCCCCCAGCCTTGTCCTGCTGTAACCAGAGTACGGATCTCTCTGAGGAGGAGAACCCAGTTCATGGTTATAGTACCGTTGACCAGACATAGCCATCTTGTTGGGTGGACCATCGTGCATATTGTTCTTTATTGCTGGATGACTCATGGGACCCACAGTCTTCGTACCTGCAAATCAGAGTAATATTGTTGATATTAGTCATCTCAGTTAGCAGGCATCTTAGTTTTGTCAAGTTTATATTACAGATCAAAATTTAGATGATTCTGAGTAATTCACTCTGCATTTTCCATTCTGACCTTGCAAATATACAAACAGTGCTGAATTGACAACAAACACCCTATATTTAGAGCAAACAGTTAGAAAACAGCAGCCAAGCAGACTGAATGTTATGGAAATATAATCTAGCTGATATGTGTATGCATGTTCAGACAGTGTCACATTTCTGCTTCTCTTTTATAACACAATGCTGACAGGGCAGAATGCAGCACAGCAGCAGTAAAAACACTGCACAGAGCAGAGCATTTCTGACGGAGCTGATCTCAATCTGTCATAAACATATTGTCTTTCATTTTAATTTCTCCATGGCATATGGAAAAATGGAACAAAACTTAATGAATGCACAGATGCTCATGTCATTATATCTAGTGACACCCATTGGAGCGTAAAAGCAATTGAATGGCAATCAAATGCTGTAAGATCTCAAAGCACTGGTGAGTATAGGCCTATTTCTGAAAGTGATTAGATATGAGATATTGAACTTCATTATCAACCAATAAGCTATATGAATGGTTTGATTTTTATAATATAAATAATAATAGCCATTTAGCAGACGCTTTTATCCAAAGCGACTTAGTCATGGGTGCATACGTTTCACATATTGGTGGCCCCGGGAATCGAACCCACTATCCTGGCGTTGCAAGCACCATGTTTTACCAACAGAGCTACAGAGGACCAGGGGGCTAGTTTGCCTCTCAAATTGAGAAACAACTTCCACATACCAGTGCCACCACCCTGACTTGCCAGAGCCAGCGAGGGGTGCGGTGACTCCATGTTCCTGTGCAGAGTTGCCGTGGCGATGATCTTCCTCTTGTGGAGACACAGCTTGGTGGCATCGGCTCGTGCATCCTCAGCCATCCTATGCTTGACAGCCGCCCCGGGGTCAAAGTTGAATATCTGAGGGGAGTGAAAGGTGTTAGCGTGTGTACGTGGCTACTCCTACAACATACACGTGTTACCTCTCTCCTCCAGCCCTGGCTACAGTTAGAAGTGGGTTAGTGTTCAGTAGAGTGTGCAGTGTATTTTCCCATGAACTTTATGACCCATCTACCAGGAGTGGCCCCATCACACACCCACAAAACACCTCCAGGCTGGCTCACCTTGTGAATGGTGAGAGGACACTCCAGGCCACACTTGCAGGTGCCATCAGTCAGCAGGTAGCGCTTCACCTGGTCCAGACAGGCTAGCACTGAGCCACTGGGACTGGGAAGCGGAAGAGGAGAAATTCTGTGACTGACCAATGTTTAACGGTATACAGTAGCACAACCATACAGCATCTACATAAAGACAGTCTGCATCAGAAATGGCCCCCTATTGCATACAGTAGTCTCCTATTCCCTGCAGTGGTTCTGGTCAAAAGTAGTGCACTATAGGGTAGCATATCGGACACAACCATTGACATCAAATTACATCAAAGGGCCTGGATAGAGTAAATCAGTCAAAGCAAAAAAGCAAAGCTCCCAAAACATAGGAGGAGCACATTAACATGACAACGGCTCACCTCACAATGACAACAAGAGTGTCATCCGCTTAAAAGGCTTGTTTCCTGAGAAGAAAACATTAAATTTACAAGCATGCGTCACAAAAAAAATAATCTTAATGAAAGTAAGGGAGTGAAAAGCGTCTGGCGTGTGGAATTATGGCGCCATAAAACACAGATCCCGACAGCGTTTCAGTTTTTCAGAGGACACAATTTTCTCTGTATGTTACAGTCACTGTTCTCAAACATGCTTCTCCTCAAGGCCATGTAGCCCAGATCTGCCCACCAGAGAGGGAATATACTTCATATAAAGAGAGGGAAGGAGGCAATATTAGACTCTCTGGAAGGGGTTGTGCTTGACTGGCCCTGGTATTGAAACGCTTCCCTTCACTAAAGCCCATGGACAGACAATGCATATAAAGGTATTTTTCTTCCTATCAATAAAAGGCCACAACACGGACTACGGCTTTATTGCGGTCAGCCTTATTAGGGTAAAAGATCGATATGACAAGTAGGAATGTGCATCTTTCCCATTCAAGACGATTGAACACGTATCTAGATACATGGTCTCCAATACAATATATTTTAGTTTGAAACGATTTGGTGCGATTCGGTTTGGTTAGAAAACGAATCGATGTGATGTGATATGATGCACTAACACTTGTTGAATAAACATGAAATTCCATTCTAAGTTAACATCTGCTGCTGATGGAGCTCATGAGCTGGACCTGTCTGAGCTGGACCAGTCTGAGCTGGACCTGTCTGAGCTGGACCTGTCTGAGCTGGACCTGTCTGAGCTGGACCTGTCTGAGCTGGACCAGTCTGAGCTGGACCTGTCTGAGCTGGACCTGTCTGAGCTGGACCAGTCTGAGCTGGACCTGTCTGAGCTGGACCAGTCTGAGCTGGACCTGTCTGAGCTGGACCTGTCTGAGCTGGACCTGTCTGAGCTGGACCTGTCTGAGCTGGACCTGTCTGAGCTGGACCTGTCTGAGCTGACTTCTGTGTGTGTGTGTAAATGATGTAAGTCCATAACCACATTTCAATCCAGTTTTTTATTTTATTTTATTTAACCTTTATTTAACCAGGTAAGCCAGTTGAGAACAAGTTCTCATTTACAACTGCGACCTGGCCAAGATAAAGCAAAGCAGTGCGATAAAAACAACAGAGTTACATATGGGGTAAACAAAACATAAAGTCAAAAAATACAACAGAAAATATATATACAGTGGGGAGAACAAGTATTTGATACACTGCCGATTTTGCAGGTTTTCCTACTTACAAAGCATATTGAGGTCTGTAATTTTTATCATAGGTACACTTCAACTGTGAGAGACGGAATCTAAAACAAAAATCCAGAAAATCACATTGTATGATTTAATTAATTTGCATTTTATTGCATGACATAAGTATTTGATCACCTACCAACCAGTAAGAATTCCGGCTCTCACAGACCTGTTAGTTTTTCTTTAAGAAGCCCTCCTGTTCTCCACTCATTACCTGTATTAACTGCACCTGTTTGAACTCGTTACCTGTATAAAAGACACCTGTCCACACACTCAATCAAACAGACTCCAACCTCTCCACAATGGCCAAGACCAGAGAGCTGTGTAAGTATATCAGGGATAAAATTGTAGACCTGCACAAGGCTGGGATGGGCTACAGGACAATAGGCAAGCAGCTTGGTGAGAAGGCAACAACTGTTGGCGCAATTATTAGAAAATTGAAGAAGTTCAAGATGATGGTCAATCACCCTCGGTCTGGGGCTCCATGCAAGATCTCACCTCGTGGGGCATCAATGATCATGAGGAAGGTGAGGGATCAGCCCAGAACTATACGGCAGGACCTGGCCAATGACCTGAAGAGAGATGGGACCACAGTCTCAAAGAAAACCATTAGTAACACACTACGCCGTCATGGATTAAAATCCTGCAGCGCACGCAAGGTCCCCTTGCTCAAGCCAGCGCATGTCCAGGCCCGTCTGAAGTTTGCCAATGACCATCTGGATGATCCAGAGGAGGAATGGGAGAAGGTCATGTGGTCTGATGAGACAAAAATATAGCTTTTTGGTCTAAACTCCACTCGCCGTGTTTGGAGGAAGAAGAAGGATGAGTACAAACCCAAGAACACCATCCCAACCATGAAGCATGGAGGTGGAAACATCATTCTTTGGGGATGCTTTTCTGCAAAGGGGACAGGACGACTGCACCGTATTGAGGGGAGGATGGATGGGGCCATGTATCGTGAGATCTTGGCCAACAACCTCCTTCCCTCAGTAAGAGCATTGAAGACGGGTCGTGGCTGGGTCTTCCAGCATGACAACGACCCGAAACACACAGCCAGGGCAACTAAGGAGTGGCTCCGTAAGAAGCATCTCAAGGTCCTGGAGTGGCCTAGCCAGTCTCCAGACCTGAACCCAATAGAAAATCTTTGGAGGGAGCTGAAAGTCCGTATTGCCCAGTGACAGCCCTGAAACCTGAAGGATCTGGAGAAGGTCTGTATGGAGGAGTGGGCCAAAATCCCTGCTGCAGTGTGTGCAAACCTGGTCAAGACCTACAGGAAACGTATGATCTCTGTAATTGCAAACAAAGGTTTCTGTACCAAATATTAAGTTCTGCTTTCCTGATGTATCAAATACTTATGTCATGCAATAAAATGCAAATTAATTACTTAAAAATCATACAATGTGATTTTCTGGATTTTTGTTTTAGATTCCGTCTCTCACAGTTAAAGTGTACCTATGATAAAAAATTACAGACCTCTACATGCTTTGTAAGTAGGAAAACCTGCAAAATCGGCAGTGTATCAAATACTTGTTCTCCCCACTGTATACAGTGTGTGCGAATGTAGTAAGTTATGGAGGTAAGGCAATAAATAGGCCATAGTGCAAAATAGTTACAATTCCGTATTAACACTGGAATGATAGATGTGCAAAAGATTATGTGCAAATAGAGATACTGGGGTGCAAATTAGCAAAATAAATAACAATATGATGAGGTAGTTGGGTGGGCTAATTACAGATGGGCTGTGTACAGGTGCAGTGATCGGTAAGCTGCTCTGACAACTGACGCTTAAAGTTAGTGAGGGAGGTAAGAGTCTCCAGCTTCAGAGATGCGCGTAAAATCATTAAAAAAAAGAAGAAAACTCACTACAGCTGTGATGGAAACAGGAAGTTTCGGTGTAATTTTATAAATGCCGACAGAATTTGTTCGTTCAAAATAGTGGGATCGTGTTATGTCCGTAAAATTAATTACGCCTGAAATGGCGGTGGAAAAACCTTAATGCGCAAATATTGATATAATAACAGTCATATCAAAGTAATTTTGGAGTCACACGATGATGTGGTGTATGGTCCTCCCCACTACGACTCGGCAGTTTATTAAACCCGCACTGTATCTGCCAGCTGTTGGCTAGAGAGAAGGTGCCCAGACCAGAGTAGGTAGGCACATTTGCTTTTTAACGCAACAGTTTGTGTGACAAAACTATCGGTAGAGTTGTAAATGCGATGGAAACACATGCAACTTTTTGATTTTTATTCGGCACATGAAAACATAAGTGGAGAAAGTACATTGTGTGCACTACGTCGTCACGCACTGATTTTTATACGCAACAAGTCCATTTGGTGGAAACATACCACTGGTGGGAAAATTTGCATATTTTCTTTATATGGATTCTAGAATATTTGCATAAAAATATACACTGCTCAAAAAAATTAAGGGAACACTAAAATAACACATCCTAGATCTGAATGAATGAAATAATCTTATTAAATACTTTTTTCTTTACATAGTTGAATGTGCTGACAACAAAATCACAAAAATTATCAATGGAAATCAAATTTAGTCATCAAAAGTTAAAATGAGGCTCAGTAGTGTGTGTGGCCTCCACGTGCCTGTATGACCTCCCTACAACGCCTGGGTATGCTCCTGATGAGGTGGCGGATGGTCTCCTGAGGGATCTCCTCCCAGACCTGGACTAAAGCATCCGTCAACTCCTGGACAGTCTGTGGTGCAACGTGGCGTTGGTGGATGGAGCGAGACAGATGTGCTCAATTGGATTCTGGGGAACGGGTGGGCCAGTCCATAGTATCAATGCCTTCCTCTTGCAGGAACTGCTGACACACTCCAGCCACATGAGGTCTAGCATTGTCCTGCATTAGGAGGAACCCAGGGCCAACCGCACCAGCATATGGTCTCACAAGGGGTCTGAGGATCTCATCTCAGTACCTAATGGCAGTCAGGCTACCTCTGGCGAGCACATGGAGGGCTGTGCGGCCCCCCAAAGAAATGCCACCCCACACCATGACTGACCCACCGCCAAAGCGGTCATGCTGGAGGATGTTGCAGGCAGCAGAACGTTCTCCACGGCGTCTCCAGACTCTGTCATGTCTGTCACATGTGCTCAGTGTGAACCTGCTTTCATCTGTGAAGAGCACAGGGCGCCAGTGGCGAATTTGCCAATCTTGGTGTTCTCTGGCAAATGCGAAACGTCCTGCACGGTGTTGGGCTGTAAGCACAACCCCCACCTGTGGACGTCGGGCCCTCATACCACCCTCATGGAGTCTGTTTCTGACCGTTTGAGCAGACACATGCACATTTGTGGCCTGCTGGAGGTCATTTTGCAGGGCTCTGGCAGTGCTCCTCCTGCTCCTCCTTGCACAAAGGCGGAGGTAGCAGTCCTGCTGCTGGGTTGTTGCCCTCCTACGGCCTCCTCCACGTCTCCTGATGTACTGGCCTGTCTCCTGGTAGCGCCTCCATGCTCTGGACACTACGCTGACAGACACAGCAAACCTTCTTGCTACAGCTCGCACTGATGTGCCATCCTGGATGAGCTGCACTACCTGAGCCACTTGTGTGGGTTGTAGACTCCGTCTCATGCTACCACTAGAGTGAAAGCACCGCCAGCATTCAAAAGTGACCAAAACATCAGCCAGGAAGCATAGGAACTGAGAAGTGGTCTGTGGTCACCACCTGCAAAACCAGTCCTTTATTGGGGGGTGTCTTGCAAATTGCCTATAATTTCCACCTGTTGTCTATTCCATTTGCACAACAGCATGTGAAATGTATTGTCAATCAGTGTTGCTTCCTAAGTGGACAGTTTGATTTCACAGAAGTGTGATTGACTTAGAGTTACATTGTGTTGTTTAAGTGTTCCCTTTATTTTTTGGAGCAGTGTATGTCGCCAATTGAATGGAAACCTTACTCATGGTGTATGTACTGTGTGTGTAAATGATGCATGTACTGTAGCCACCCCCACTTCGGCTCTGAAATCACCATCACCCACTAATTAACTTCAGTTAGTACAGTGAAATGCCTTTCTTGCTCTAAACACAACAATGCAGTAGTAATAAAAAGGTAGAACAAAAATGTATTAAAAAGAACACAAGAAAATTATACATTTACATTTTAGTCATTTAGCAGACGCTCTTCTACAGAGCGACTTCCAGTAGTCACTGCATACACCTTCAAATGAGTGGATTTGGCTATTTCAGCCACACCCGTTGCTGACAGGTGTATAAAATCGAGCACACAGCCATGCAATCTCCATAGACAAACATTGGCAGTAGAATGGCCTTACTGAAGAGCTGTGACTTTCATCGTGGCACTGTCATAGGCCATCTCATGCCACCTTTTCAACAAGTCCGTTTGTAAAATTTCTGCCCTGGTCAAACTGTAATTGCCGCTATTGTGAAGTGGAAACGTCTAGGAGAAACAACGGCTCAGCCGCAAAGTGGTAGGCCACACAAGCTCACAGAACGGGACTGCCGAGTGCTGAATCGCGTAGCGGGTAAAAATCGTCTGTCCTCGGTTGCAACACTCACTACCGAGTTCCAAATGGGTTTCAAAGGCCGAGCAGCCGCACACAAGCCTAAGATCACCACGCGCAATGCCAAGCGCTGGCTGGAGTGGTGTAAAGCTCGCCGCCATTGGACTCTGGAGCAGTGGAAACGCATTCTCTGGAGGGATCAATCACGCTTCACCATCTGGCAGTCCGACGGATGAATCTGGGTTTGGTGGATGCCAGGAGAACGCTACCTGCACAAATGCATAGTGCCAACTGTAAAGTTTGGTGGAGGAGGAATAAAGGTCTGGGACTGTTTTTCATGGTTTGGGCTAGGCCCCTTAGCTCCAGTGAAGGGAAATCTTAACACTACAGCAAACAATGACATTCTAGAGAAGTCTGTGCATCCAACTTTGTGGCAACAGTTTGGAGAAGGCCCTTTCCTGTTTCAGCATGACAATACAGAAATTGTTTGTCGAGATCGGTGTGGAAGAACTTGACTGGCCTGCACAGAGCCCTGACCTCAACCCCATTGGACACCCTTTGGGATGAATTGGAAAGCCGACTGCAAGCCAGGCCTAATCGCCCAACACCAGTGCCCGACCTCAATAACGCTCATGGCTGAATGGAAGCAAGTCCCTGCAGCAATGTTCCAACATTTAGTGGAAAGCCTTCCCTGAAGAGTAGAGGCTGTTATAGCAGCAAAGGGGGATTTTGGAATGAGATGTTCATCGAGCAGGTGTCCACATACTTTTGGTCATCTAGTGTATGTGTGTAGGAATCTCAGTGTGCGTGCGTGTGTAGGGCACTCTGAGCGTGCATAGAGACAGTACAAAAATAAAATTACAATAAAAAAGGGTCAACTCAGATAGCCCTGTAGCCATTGTGTTAGCTATTTAGCAGTCTTATGGCTTGTGGATAGAAGCTGTTCAGGAGCCTATTGGCGTCAGACTTGATGCACCGGTAACAGCTTGCTGTGCAGAAACAGAGAGAACAGTCTTGGGTGGCTGGAGTCTTTAACGATTTTCCGGGTCTTCCTTTCACACCGCCTGACATAGAGGTCCTGGATGTCAGGAAGCTTGGCCCCAGTGATGTACTGGGCTGTCTGCACCACCCTCTGTAGCGTCCCTCATGCGATCGAGGGCGATGCTATTGCCATACCAAGCAGTGACGCAGCCAGTCAAGATGCTCTCAATGGTACAGCTGTATAACTTTGAGGATCTGAGGGCCCATGCCAAACCTTTTAACCTCCTGAGGTTGAAGAGGCGTGGTCGCGCCTTCTTCAGGACTGTAGCGTGTGTGTGGACCACTTAGTGATTTGGACACAAAGGACCTTGAAGCTCTCGACCTGCTCCACTGCAGCCCCGTCAATGTGGACGTGCTCGCCCCCATCCAGTTGCAGAGGGAGGTATTCAGTCCCAGGCTCCTATGCTTAGTGACGAGCTTGGGGACAATGGTGTTGAACACTGAGCTGTAGTCAATGAACAGCATTCTCATATAGATATTCCTCTTATCTAGGTGGGTGAGGGCCGTGTGAAGTGCAATTGAGATTGCGTTGTCCACGAATCTGATGGGGCGGTATGCAAATTGGAGAGGGTCTAGGGTGTCTGGGATGATGGAGTTGATGTGTGCCATAACCAGCCTCTCAAAGCACTTCATGATTACAGATGTGAGTGCTACAGGGTGGTAGTCATTGTGGCTTTGAGTTCTTAGGAACAGGAATGGTGGTGGTCAGGTTAAGACTGGGACAAGGAGAGGTTGAAAATTACCGTGGATATGCCTGGCAGCTGTTCTGCGCATGCTGAGAATGCGCCCTGGAATACCGTTGTGCCCCGCGGCCTTGCGGGTGTTGACCTGATTAAAGACCTTACTCATGTCGGCCCCAGAGAGCGAAATCACCCAGTCCTCTGGGTCAGTGACAGCCCGCACAGCCGGCACAGTGTCGTTATTGTCGAAGCATGCATGAAATGCGTTGAGTTCATCTGGTAGAGAGGCATCATTGGGCAGATCACGGCTGGGTCTTCCTTTCTAATCCGTAATGGACTGTAGCCCCTGCCACATGCGGCGGATGTCGGAGCCTGTGTAATATGATTCCACCTTATTTCCTATAATGTCCTTTTGCTCGTTTGATGACTCTGCGGAGGTCGTAGCTGGACTTCTTGTACTTGTTCCTGTCCTCAGCCGTAGCCTCAGGGTTATGTGCGGTGGCCCTGTGTGCGGTAGCCCTTTGCTTTAGCTTAGCACCAATCTCAGTGTTCATCCAGGGCTTTTGATTAGGGAAGCAGCGCTGTGCACTTTGGGGCCAACATCGCAGATGCATTTCCTAATGAAGTCAGTGATGGAGGTGGTTAAGCTCGTCGATGTTGTTGGTGGATTCTCAAAACATATTCCACTCAGCGCTAGCAAAGCAGTCCTGTAGCAACATTTCTGATTCTGGTCAGCTTCACTTTTAAACAGGAGTACAGAGTTATGATCTGATATGCCGAATAGTGGACGAGGGAGGGCCTTGTATGCATGCTTGTGGGTAGAATAACTGTGGTCTAGGGACATTACTGCCCCTAGTCGCGAAGGAGACGTGTTGATGGAAGTTGGGCATCGCGTGTCTTAGTGGAATTAAAATCACCGGCATCCAGAAAAACAGCCTCCAGATATGCATTTTCCTGCTTGTTTATAGCCTTGTACAGTTTGTTAAGTGCCAGCTTGCTGTGTGTGTGTGTAAACTAGTTTGTTAAGTGCCAGCTTAACATAGCCAATGAATATATAACTTTGGATTTCACCCCCACCTCAAAATCAAATGGTTTTGACCGTTTTGAAGTTAAAGGAGTGATCTTCTCCTTTCGCTTTGGCCATGCAGCGCGCCCCGCAAAAGTGACTGGTGTCCTCATTATGAAATTATTACCTTTTCCCTGTATATCTAAAAATGACCATATCAAAATAAAACGTATTGTAGGTCCCGTTCAGCAGGTAGCCTATAGCCAGATGAGTTGTCTCCGGTAGCTTCCTTTTATTCCGGTAAAACACAATATTCAACAGTGCATATTACATAGGTTGTCACTCAGCTAATAAAGCCTAATATCGCACAAGCAATTTTAGCATTTTTAATGCTGAAGGTGCCTGCAGAATAGATGTGTAAGATCAGGAACATGCCGCCTACCTCGAGTTGGTCAGCACACCAAGCTGTGCACGGTTTGACTAGGCTACTGACTAATGACTTGTAGATCAATGACTGTCAACACAGGTAAATGCTTAGTTCCACACTGAAGGAGAGGAACTGGACGCATCAGTTGTAACAAAATAATAAAAAATATTATTAAAATTTTTTTTTTTGAAGGTAGAAAGAAAACCTAGATGAGCAAAACATTTTAGTAAATCAGCGATTCGTAACGTTTGAATCGATTTTCTGACAGATGCTACATTTGGATCGGTTTGGGGTCCGCGGACTGATCATAACTTAAACATTTGAGTCGGGGACCGATGCGTATCGGTGAATCATTAAATCCCTAATGACAAGCATTTTTTTTTTTTATCCTGTATGAAGGAACCTGTTCAACAAACACAGACAGTTACATGAAAATCTTCCTGTAGAAGGAAATAAATAATTAGCCTAAATACTGATTGGGCAGATGGAGGGACCCCAGGCTAGTTTAAATACAGGTAGAGTAGGTCTTACCTTATGTAGACAACCCTGCTCTGGGTGATCCTCCGCTGCCAACCTATAGGGACTTCAGCCGGGGGCGGCTTCCCCTCAGAACACAAACCTTCATACTTATTTGTTCTGTTCATTGTCCACTCCTTAAGTCTGCACAACTACACCCTTGCAATGTGAGATATCACAAGTCTGTCAGAGAGCTCAGACTAGTATGCGTCATCCTGGGGTCTCTCAGGAGTGAACTGACCAAGCAAGAGATGTGCTACAACAGCTTCGATGGTGGAACTGCCAATCCCACCGTTGCCTGCTTCTTCTGGGACAGGTTCACTGTGGAACAAGACCTTCGAGACCCTTTGTCCCCATCCTGTTTAAAATCACCATTTTCATCAATGTTTTTGTGAAGAGGCCATGGTAGTGGTGGGAGGACCTGGCGACATTGGGATGGGTGGCCTGAGGGAACTTGAAGTAGAGCTGCCCAGGCGACCTCTCTCACAGACCAATGTTTCACTTTCAGTTCACAGAAGCTGATATTGGACAAATCTGGATGGATCTGGTCATCAATGGTGATTAAGTGAACTATGGCTGATACTAACTGGCGCTGGCACCTTAAAACTCCTCATCGTTGTGGGTTACGTCAGCATGACATCATCCCAGAGTGAATAATGGATTAAAGCAGCCACTGTCCCATATATTCCAACCTGTAAAACAAGTTAAAAAGTAACACGGTCAAATTTACTACAAAAGCTTTTAGGAATATATGTATAGTCTAATAGTAGGAGCTCATTGAGAAGAATATTCCTAAATATTTCCCACACAATACAGGCTTTGCATAACTTTTGCATACCCAACAATAATGTGTAATTCATTGTGCACATTTCAAAATATAGTTTTTCCTCTACTAAAACAATGACATCCAATCTCTCTTCAATGTAATTAGGACTAGTTGTAGAGGTAGGGGTCACTGTACTGTAGTGGTAACTAGCTGTACTAGACTCTCTATGCTGTGTGAATGGTCACAAAATCACAATGTTGCTGTAAGGCTTACTGATACTGAGTCGCCACGGCGATAGGCCTGTCTACCTACCTTCCACCCCCTTTTTAACCAAGCCCTTCTTTATGATGAGATCACCAGCGGCAATAGGATGGGGATAAATATAATATATAATAATAATATAATATGCCATTTAGCAGACGCTTTTATCCAAAGCGACTTACAGTCATGCGTGCATACATTTTTTTTTTTTTTTGTGTATGGGTGGTCCCGGGGTTCGAACCCACTACCTTGGCGTTACAAGCGCCGTGCTCTACCAGCTGAGCTACAGAGGACCACGTGTATTCTTTAGTCGTTTTGCATCTTCCACGGCCATTTCTAGGTGGGTGGATTTGGAGGACAAATAGATTTTTTTTAGCTATATTTTCATTTTTGTTGTTTAATTTTAACACAAGTCTTGCATTCTGTCATCTAAACTGTCAAATCTGTCTCCCATCTCTTACTGAAAGAGAGTAAAGGTGACAATGGGCCGCCCAGGTGCTGAAACACTCGATAGCCCTTTGTGTCTCCTGAACTGTGGGGTGCTCGTCCTCGCCACCAGGCCTGTCAGACCGACAACTTATCCGGAACTCTGGGGTGAAATAAAAACAGCAGCACTTTGATATTGCATTACAGGAGTGTGAATCACGCACGCTGAGCGTTTTCTGTGACGGATGACTCATCCACACAGCCAAGCGAGCACAGAAAACGCTGGGAATTAAAGCTAGGGCACCTTCCTTCGCCCAGATACCAATACAAAATGGCTTGGTATTAAATTAGAGCGCAGCACACACACACCACACACACACACACACACACACACATCGAATTTCTCCATGTATGAGAGCAGCGGTAGTCAGCACTGTGCCACTGTCACAGCCACCCTTGGGATATGTCTGAAAGAGGACAAACGGAACAGCAAAGGCCAATATTCAGATCTGATTTTCAGCCTACCTACATTGTGCCTTCCTTTATTTTCATAGTTGACTGAAAGCCTGCACAATGTCAACATAATCAAAAGCATGGCATGCAGAACTAAAATCTAATGTTTGTGTAATTTGAGGCTTTATCGTGTTTTACCCTCCACAGTATGTGTGCCTGAAAGCCAGGCCCATTTGTAGACCATGATAGGCCTCCTGCTCCCTCCCACATGATAAATCAGCCACAAAACACATCATGGCTCTCCAGTGTTCTGCCACTGCTCCATAGCTTGGAGGGAAACAAGAGCGGGTTGAAAAATAGGCCAGGCTCTCTTGGATGCAAGGTAGCTGTCGCAAAAGGGGGGGGGGTGGGTGGGTTCAGCATTAGATTCAACAGCTCCAAATATTTTGGCAGCGTAGAGTTCCAGGGACACAGCGTCTCTACTTGTGATAATGTGAACAAACAATCCAACTCCACGCTTGACCCAGTGTATCAGAACGAAATGTAAAATGTAGCCTAAATATCCACACAGCAAAAAAATATTCCCTGGATAATAAAATGGCAAGCAGGTACACTACGCCTTAGGGCTGAGCAATATGGCCAAAATATCATATCACAGTATTTTTGTCATTGACGGTATGACGCCATTTGACGTTTCTGAATAATAACAGTTCTAAATACGCTTGATGAGTTGTGCATGACCCTAGGATGGCAACAAATTAATTCTAAGTGGTTTTAAATTGGCTTTCTCCGTTCTGATTGCTTTATACAGCTCAAAACAAACTTCAAACTAAAATAATAAAGAGGACATTACTGAAAGTGAAGTAGTCTTATTTGTAGAAGAATGCATCAAAATCCTATTTTGTAGCCTCAAACTCTGGTACTCGACCAATGGTTGCCATTTCTATAGTTATTTGTTCAATTCCAGCATTCACGTCCATCACTTTCTTCATTTCCTGCACTAATTTGTTATAATTTAAACACTGTCAAGTTTATTTTGTCTTAGTATGCCTCTATAAAAAAATAATAAAAAAAAGGAATATCAGAATAATTACTATCCTCTTTGACCACTTTCGGGTTAATTTGCAGATCTTACTAAGAGGGCAGTCGGACGATTTCCGGGGGTCTCTGCTCCGAAGTTGTTGACTAGTTGTGCTAGCATTTAGCTAGCAGTTCTCAGCTGTTAGCAGTTTCTTACTGGCGATAAAAACTGACAATTTCAAGAATTTGAGTCATTACTGAATCATTTAATTAAACAAATCAAACAAAATGCCATTAGAGAATGTACAGTAAAAATCCACACCGGTGTGTGTATCAATACCGGTATATAGTAAAATGCAATATATTAGGGATGTAACGCTTCAAATGTTTAAGATGCAAGTGCATAGGTCCGAGGAACCCAAACGATCCAAATGTAGCATGCATCGGTCAGAAAATAGATTCAAACTTTACAAAAATGTTTTGCTCATACTACTTTCTTTCCACCTTCCAAAAATACCTCATATTTTGTGACAACTGATGCGTCCTCTCCTTTAGGGTCGAACTAAGCACGCAACTGTGTTGAGTCATTGATCTTCAAGTCATTTTGCATGCCAAAACAACCCCAGGGAATATCAGTAGCTTAGTCAAACTGCGCCCAGTATCACGAGGCAGGCGGTACGTTCATGATCTATTCTGAAGGCACCATCAGCATTCAAATGCTAGAATGGCATATGCGTTATTAGTTGAGTGACAACCTATGTAATTTGCTAGGTTGTTGTTATACATGCACTGTTGAAAATTGTGTTTTACAGGAATAAAAGTAAGCTACCGGAGACAACTCTCATCTGGCTATAGGTCTACCTGCTGAACGGGGCTTACAATATATTTTATTTTGATTGTTCTGGTTCGCCATCAGCAACAGTTTTGGTAGTTTTGCTTTAAAACAATCCGTTTTATGTGGTCATTTTCAGATATACAGGGTAAAGTTGATAATTTTATAACGAGGACACCAATCACTTTTGCAGGGGCACGCTGCATGGCCGAAGTGAGAGTAGAAGATCACTCCGTAAAAACTTCAGAATGGTCAAAACCATTTGATTTTGAGATTGGGTGAGATCCCAAATTGTGCTCTATATTCATTGGCTATGTCATAGCTAATTTGTAAACGATAAATATTGTTACATTACTAGCTCAAACGCTTAATCTGCAAAAATGACAAGTTAATTAGTGGGTGATGGTGATTTCAGAACCAAAGTGGGGGGACAATAAACATGCCACATTTGCCCCCCCTAATCTGATAGTGGTAGTGGGGTGGTAGATGCCTAGTCTCATTTACGGCTCAGCTCAGGGCTGGGCGATATAGTCTAGATTTATTATTATTTGTATTAATTTTTTTAACATGGGCGATTCACGATATACTGTATATATCTCAATGTTTTAAAACATTTCTCTAAATAAGCTTGGTTGTACAATTAAAGGTGAAATACACTGCATTTCAAACATTCAGCAATAATCTAATGATCTGGATTATTATTTTTTTAAACACATTTAACCATAACCATGCACATTCACTAATAATGACTAATTTCTTGTAGCAGGCATTATGGAAAATTAACACAGGTCTCAAACAATCTCTCAAGCACAAGCCCACATGCTAGTGAGTAGCCAGCTAGTCTTTATTGTTCAAGTTTAGCCAACTTGGATCTACACGGAACAAAAATAAAACGCAACATGCAACAATTTCAAAGATTTACTGAGTTACAGTTCATATAAGGAAATCAGTCAATTTAAATAAATAAATAAATTAGGTCCTAATCTATGGATTTCACATGACTAGAAATACAGATACGCATCGGTTGATCAGATACCTTTAAAAAAAAGTAGGGGCGTGGATCAGAAAACCAGTCAGTATCTGGTGTGACCACCATTTGCCGCATGCAGCACGAGATCTCCTTTGCATAGAGTTGATCAGATTGTTGATTGTGAAATGTTGTCCCAATCCTTCTTGGATGTGGCAGGGCTTGAAAACTATTACAGACTACAAAGGGAAGCACAGCCGCGAGCTGCCCAGTGACACAAGCCTACCAGACGAGCTAAACCACTTCTATGCTCGCTTCGAGGCAAGCAACACTGAAGCATGCACGAGAGCACCAGCTGTTCCGGACGACTATGTGATCACGCTCTCCGTAGCCGATGTGAGTA